CAGAAGGACGGCGTGTGGGCGCTGCAGAACGAAGCCACCAAGGAGAGGACCGCGCAGGCGTTCCTGCGCGTGGACGACGAGCACCTGAAGCTGTTCGAGACGCGCGTGCGGCAGATCCTCATGTCATCCGGCTCCACCACGTTCACCAAGATCGCCAACAAGTGGAACACGGCGCTCATCGGCCTCATGACGTACTTCCGAGAGGCGACGGTGCACACGGAGGAGCTCCTGGATCTGCTGGTGAAGTGCGAGACCAAGATTCAGACGCGCGTCAAGATCGGGCTCAACTCCAAGATGCCTTCTCGCTTCCCGCCGGTGGTGTTCTACTCGCCGAAAGAGCTGGGCGGGCTGGGCATGCTGTCCATGGGGCACATTCTGATCCCGCAGAGCGACCGCCTGTACAGCAAGCAGACGGACATTGGAGTCACGCATTTCCGCGCCGGGATGAGTCATGAGGAGGGAGCGCTGATCCCGAGTTTGTACCGGTATATTCAGCCGTGGGAGAGCGAGTTCGTGGACAGTCAGCGGGTCTGGGCGGAGTATGCGCTCAAGAGGAGCGAGGCGCAGGCGCAGAATCGACGGCTGACGCTCGAGGATCTGGAGGACTCGTGGGACCGGGGGATCCCGAGGATCAACACGCTGTTTCAGAAGGACCGGCACACGCTGGCGTACGACAAGGGGTGGCGGGTGCGCACGGGGTTCCAACAGTACCAGTTCCCCAAGCAGAACCCCTTCTGGTGGACGCACCAGCGCCACGACGGCAAACTCTGGAATCTGAACAACTACCGCACGGATGTGATCCAGGCGCTGGGCGGCGTGGAGGGTATTCTGGAGCACACCCTGTTTAAAGGCACCTACTTCCCCACGTGGGAGGGGCTGTTTTGGGAGAAGGCGTCCGGGTTCGAGGAATCGATGAAGTACAAGAAGCTGACAAACGCACAGCGGTCCGGGCTGAACCAGATCCCGAACCGGCGGTTCGCGCTGTGGTGGTCGCCCACCATCAACCGCGCGAACGTGTACGTGGGGTTCCAGGTGCAGCTGGACCTCACGGGCATCTTCATGCACGGCAAGATTCCCACGCTGAAGATCTCGCTCATCCAGATCTTCCGCGCGCATCTGTGGCAGAAGGTGCACGAGAGCGTCGTCATGGACATCTGCCAGGTGAGGACACGGGCTGGTGAGGGCTGTCAGGTAGGTGGATGATCTTGTCGCCAGGTGGGTTTTGACTGAAGCATCTGGTATGTTTTGACCGAAGCATCTTGTCGGTGTGTTTTCACATAAGCATTTCCCACGTGGATTTGACCCCGAGCATTGCTCTTTAAGTCTTAGCTGTGATTCAACCTATGTGCATTGCTGCATCCCCCCGCACTCCCAATCCCTCCTTCCCCTCTCCGGCCTTTCTGCTGCATTCTGTTCTCCACGTCCTCCACCAGGAGGGCGATGCCCTGGAGGCTGGAGGTCACGACCGTTCAGAAGGACATCAACCATCCGCGCAAATCCTACAAGATGAACTCTTCAGCGCCCCGTCTTCATCGCCTTCCTCTTCCTCCCGTGTTCTTGTCAATTCACCAGGTGCTCGACCAGGAGCTGGATGCTCTGGAGATCGAGACAGTCCAGAAGGAGACAATCCACCCCCGCAAGTCGTACAAGATGAACTCCTCCTGCGCTGACGTGCTGCTCTTCGCCGCCTACAAGTGGCCTGTGTCCAAGCCGTCCCTGGTGGCCGACTCCAAGGACGCGTTCGACCAGAAGGCCACCGACAAGTACTGGATCGACGTGCAGCTGCGCTGGGGAGACTATGACTCGCACGACATCGAGCGATACACGCGGGCCAAGTTTCTGGACTACACCACGGACAACATGAGCCTGTACCCCTCGCCCGCGGGGGTGATGATCAGCATCGACCTGGCGTACAACCTGTGGTCCATCTACGGCAACTGGATTCCCGGGATGAAGCCCCTTTTGGCACAGGTGCGAGTGGGGAGGGGTGGGGAGGGGAGGGGGGGTTGGGAGACTGGAGGGAGGCTTGAGGGATGGATTAGACAGAGAGTGAGCGTGAGGATCAGCATCGACCTGGCGTACAACCTGTGGTCAATTTATGGCAACTGGATCCCGGGGATGAAGCCGTTGCTGGCGCAGGGGAGAGCGAGGGTTTAAGAGGACGTGGGACAGAGGGGGGTGAGGCAGGGAGGGGGTTTGTAAGATGCAAGAGTGAGAGTGATGATCAGAGTTGATTCGACGCAGAACCTGAGGTCCATCTGTGGCATGAAGCTGCTGCTGGCACAGGAGAGAGTGGTTGGGGGTGGGTGAGGAGAGGGGAAGTGGGACAGCGAGGTGGTGTGTGCGCTGCGAGAGTTGGGATCATTGCCATAGATGCTCAAGAAAGAACGTTTTTTTCACACGCTGAAGAAAGAATTCCCCGTTCTCCCCCCCTCCCCCTCCCCACCCCCCACAACTCTCTCCCGCTTTCCCAGGCCATGGCGAAGATCATGAAGGCCAACCCCGCGCTGTACGTGCTGCGCGAGCGCATCCGGAAGGGGCTGCAGCTGTACTCCTCCGAGCCCACGGAGCCGTACCTCTCTTCTCAGAACTACGGCGAGCTCTTCTCGAACCAGATCATCTGGTTCGTGGACGACACCAACGTGTACCGCGTCACCATCCACAAAACCTTCGAGGGGAATCTCACCACGAAGCCCATCAACGGCGCCATCTTCATCTTCAACCCGCGCACCGGGCAGCTGTTCCTCAAGATCATCCACACGTCCGTGTGGGCAGGGCAGAAGCGTCTCGGGCAGCTCGCGAAATGGAAAACGGCGGAGGAGGTGGCGGCACTGATCCGATCTCTTCCAGTGGAGGAGCAGCCAAGGCAGATCATCGTGACCAGGAAGGGCATGCTGGACCCCCTGGAGGTCCACCTGCTGGATTTCCCGAACATTGTCATCAAGGGATCGGAGCTCCAGCTGCCGTTTCAGGCGTGCCTGAAGATCGAGAAGTTCGGGGACCTGATTCTCAAGGCGACGGAGCCGCAGATGCTGCTATTCAACATCTATGACGACTGGCTGCGCTCGATCTCCTCCTACACCGCCTTCTCTCGCCTCATCCTGATTCTGCGCGCGCTCCATGTGAACAACGAGAAGGCGCGCATGTTGCTGCGGCCGGACAAGAGCGTGGTCACCCAGGCGCACCACGTGTGGCCCACTCTCACGGATGAACAATGGATCCGCTGTGAGGTGGCGCTGAAAGATCTGATTCTTGCGGATTACGCCAAGAAGAGCTCCGTGAACGTGTCGGCGCTGACGCAGTCGGAGATCCGGGATATTATTCTCGGCGCGGAGATTGCGCCGCCGTCCATCCAGAGGCAGCAGATTGCGGAGATTGAGAAGCAGGCGAAGGAGGGCGGCACGGGCGGCGCGCAGCTGACGGCGGTTACCACGCGGAGCACCAACAAGCACGGAGACGAGCTCATCGTCACCACGACCTCGCCCTACGAGCAGGCAGCGTTTGCCTCTAAGACCGACTGGCGTGTGCGGGCTATTTCAGCCGGGAACCTGCACCTGCGGGTGGGGCACATCTATGTGGCTTCGGACGACCTTAGAGAGACCGGGTACACCTACATCCTCCCTAAGAACCTCCTCAAGCGATTCGTCTGCATCTCGGACCTCCGCACGCAGGTCTCGGCGTACATGTACGGCGTGAGCCCGCCCGACAACCCCCAGGTGAAGGAGATCCGCTGCATGGTGCTCGTGCCGCAGTGGGGCACCCACCAGCAGGTGTACCTCCCCCAGCAGCTACCCGAGCACGAGTATCTCAAGGATTTGGAGCCGCTGGGGTGGGTGCACACGCAGCCGAGTGAGGCACCACAGCTGAACCCCCAGGATGTGACCCAGCATGCGAAGCTCCTGGAGGGCAATCGCAGCTGGGATGGGGATCGGTGCATCGTGGTCACGTGCTCCTTCACCCCCGGCTCCTGCTCCCTCGCGGCGTACAAGCTCACGCCGGCTGGGTACGAGTGGGGGAGGCAGAACAAGGACGTGTCAGGGAGCGCCCCGCAGGGGTATTTGCCCACGCACTACGAGCGCTGCCAGATGCTCCTGTCGGACCGCTTCCTCGGGTTCTTCATGGTTCCAGACTCGGGCGTGTGGAATTACAACTTCATGGGGGTGAAGCACTCGCCTGGCATGAGGTACCGGCTCTCTCTGGCTCCGCCCCGGGAGTTCTACCACGAGGCGCACCGCCCCACACATTTCCTGGAGTTCAGTCACCTGGATGTGGCGGCTGCGGCGGCTGCTGCGGCGGAGGGCGCGGGAGCGAAGGCGGCGGGAGGGAGTGGGAAGGCGACGGCTGGGGAAGGGGAGGAGGCAGACAGAGAGGACGTGTTCACTTGAGGCGGTGGAGATGGTGGGGGGGAGGGGGGAAGGGGGGGGGTGGACTTGAGGTACTTAGGAAGGTGGGAAGGGGAGCAGGCGGACAGGAAGGATGTGTTCACCTGAGGTGGTGGAGGGGGGAGGTTGGGATAAGGTGGGGATGTAGCAGGCATGCAAAGGGGGAGAAGGATTGGCTGGCATGGCGGAGGAGTGGGGAGGAGGAGCAGAGGAGGAGGTGAGGACGTGGGAGCAGAGGCAGCAGTGGTGCCAGGCATGGGGAAGAGGGGAGAGGGAGTGGTGCCTTATATTTTGTGGGTTGTGGGTGGTGAACACCGGCTGGGTTGGGTTGGTGGGAGGTTGGGTGGTTGTGTGGTTGGAGGGTTTGGTGGTTGGGACTCAGGTGGCAAGTAGCCGCGAGCTAATGCTGGAGTGTTGCAGAGCGTGTGCTGTGCCGCTCTGCCTGCCGTGCTGCTCTGCTTGTTGTGCTCTGGCTTGCACTTTCTTTGCTTGCAGGCTGTCTTATTCTCCGTTCTGTTGCTGCAAGCTTTGGGTTTGGATGTGCCTTGGAGCTGCTGCGGCATTGATTTGGGCAGCTGTGGGGATGCCATTTTTCAACTGATTTAGGCTGACCATTCGATCTGACTTTTTGCTTGATTTCTCTGGAAATTCGTCTAGACCTGACAAACAAAAATGTAGCTTCTAAACATGGTCATGATGACCTGCGGAACATGGTCTGCCGACAAACTAGCCATCTGTTTAGCGAGGCTCAGCAGGTCAATTTGCTCTTGGCCCATCTCCTGTAGCATTGGGTGAAGAAGAGCTTCGTACATGAAACTGCGCATACAGGGAGTGGAGTGGAGTCGGGTGAGCTTGAGTGAGGGACAGTACCAGGGAGACATGCCTTGCTCTTGACGTGGTGGACCACCAAGGGGCGATTTTTCACAGTTATTTCATGACGGCTAGAGGAGTTGGCGCATGGATATTGCAACGTGCTTTGAACTGTGTGTGGCTTACCGCATGCGTTGGCAAACTGGAATGCTCCCAAGGGACATTTGGAGCACGTCCACGCATCGGGAGGGTTTCCTGCATTCTCTATCCCCTCGCTGCTCCCATCACCGTTGTCACCATCGTATACAGGCACACACACCCTCCCCCCTTTACAAACACATGCCCTTCTAGCCACTCTGCAGCTGCCACCTGGCCTCTGAGAGGATAAGGAGGGACACGTGGCAGCACTGCCTCCCTCAAGGCAGTTCTGGCTGACGTCGCAGTCGATGAGGTGGCGGGCAGAGGCGGGCAGCCTGCCCGAAAGGAAATTATGGTGGACTTGAATGGACTTGAGGGTGGGGGAGAGGGGAGGGATGGGCCCTGTGAGCTGATTTGCGTAGAGGGATCTGCAGCAAGGGGTAGTGGAATAAAGGGAGTGAAATGAGAGTGGAAGTACCATGGGGACTGCAAGGAGGGAAATTGGACATTTACGTAGAGGATCTGCAGCACAGGTTATACTGGAGCAGATGAAATTTCTCAATAAAGGGGATAAGGAGCTTACAGGAACTCAAGGGAGTTGGATTGTGTGAGATATGCCGGTATGGGGCCGTAGAGTGAATTGACTGAGAGGTCACTGGGGACAGTTTAGGGCAGGGATGGTTAGTATTAGTGTACTGGATAAGGCATGGTTCATGAGTCACGACGTTGTCCACAGCAATAGCGAGAAAAACAGACGCAAATGCGTAGGGAATTTAGCTGGACAGGTAGCAGAAGACGAAGAAGAAAAAGCAGCAGCGGAGGCTACTGACAGATATTTTAGGCGAGGCAGGCATTTGACGACACGGGCAAAGGAAGAGAGCTTGGCGTTGAGTGTGAAGGCGTTGAAGGAGCTGGGTGGGCGGGAGGCAACATGGCAGTGATGGTGGCTGAGACAGATGCCACATTAAGGCAGCAAAGGTGTACAAGTATGAGAGGGAATCAAAGATCATGGATGAATAAAATGCACAGAAAGATGGTGCTTGAGATGGATGTGAGAGAATGTTTCAAAGTACAAGTAGGGAGAACAGAGCATCATGAGCGTACAGGAGAGTAACGGTTGTGAGCTTAGCGAGGGCTGTTGGTAGCTGTGGGAAGCCGCCTCCAATCTCCCCATCTGGAATCACAGGCGCTCTGTTGGGGTGTGATTATACAAAAGGATATGCATTAATAAGCCATGTTTTCCAGCATTTTTTTGCCAGGAACCATCACAGAACACTAGAATGCTTTTGATGGGTCACGTCATAACGTGGTCACGCACATGGATATGGGGAACCCATTGTCATCGCAGACCACCCCTCTGAACCCCGTCCCCATGCCATCATCAGAGCACAGGGCCCCTTCGGCCCAGTTCAGGCCCTCTGGCAGCTGAATCTCCCGGGCAATCTCCCGCATCGCTGCCGCTGAAACGGCTCACGCACAACAAAATTAGGGGATTCCGAATGGCAATTTCCCAAGTTTCAAGGTTAGTATCGTAGTGGGGCTTCCATTTGCTTGGTGGAATGCTGAAATGTAGCTGCACGTTTTGCGCCATGATTTGAACAGCAGGGCAGAATGTGCTGAATTCGGTACGACTGGTGAGAAGTGGTAGTTTGAGGAGAGGAAACGGGGTTACCTATGCTCGCATTAAACGGGATATCCTTGGAAGAAGCGACTGCGAGAGAAGAGAGGATAACCCAGGCAGTCAGAGAAGCTAAAACGAGCACACGAGCCATCGTTTTCCAGCGGATGGTCTTTAAGCGCCTGAAAACTTTGGACCTGCTTGCCAAGCGCTGCTAGTAAAATTCAGCATTCGACGTAGTGATACCAGAAATATTGACTGGTATTGCATCGATATTTCGTTGTGATGCAAGTGCTTGTGTCTGTTTATCCCTTACTGACAACTGTGGTCGGCGGTTTGGAAACAGGCAGTGCTTTTCTCGGTGGTTCTTGTGAGTGACTCGTGGCTGGCAAAGGCGCCACTGACTGACTCAAGAGGGCTGACGATGGCTTGTGCCCTTTCCGACCAGTTCAATGTCGCATTTCATATTTCAGATTTCAGTTCGATTTTCGAGTCGCGAGAGAATGCGCCCCGTCAGATAAAAAATGCCTCAAATTTGGTGATGCCACATCAGAAAATACTCGCCAAAGGATTGCTCTTGGGTACATGATAACAGTACACGACTATATTCAGACTAAAAATCCAGCACCGAATAGAGAAAATAGCCGAAACCCCAACGTGTTGCTCACGCAATCCGGCGCTGTCGCCCAAACCCCTGTAAAACCATCCGATCTACCCCAATCCAACACAGCATATTCCAAGGTTTATTGCAACATGTAGTGGTTAGCCCCTGCTTACGGCAGTTGTGTCGCGTCTGCTCACGCTTCCAGCAGGTTTCCTGTAGAAAGGAAAGCCCCCGACATTGCATAAAACCTTGCCTGGGGATTGTCATGTCATGCGGTGGCGGTTGCTTCTCAGGCATGTCGCACGGCTGCAACTTGCCTCGCAAGCCAACAAGCACATCATATATATTTAGGCGCGTGCGGAGCGGATTCCCCGACTAGTGCGAGTCGCGCAAGGCGTCCCTTACCATCCATATTTAGGCGCGTCCTGGTGCGCGAGGTAGTTGCGTAGTGTCGATCACGAACCAGTGATTCAGGTGTTACTGTGGCCGCTCGTTGGCAAGCATTCTCGTTTAAAGCCAATAGCAAGAAGGCGGTCAATTATATCTTTGACCGCCGAGAGACTGACCGTCGATACGGTTGCAGCAACGGTTCTGATTTAGCAGGTTTCTGTACTTCGGTATCGGAGCCACGAGTGGCGGCATGGGGACGATGCTTCAGGGCAGCAGCAGAGGGCAGTCCGGGTTCACGCAGGGCCCGCGCGGCAGAGAGAGCAGGAGCCATGCGGACAAGAGCAAGAACGAAGACAAGGAGATCAAGCCTGGTTTTGAAGAGGGGAAGAGTGAAGGGAAGGAGTCCAGGCGAGGAGGGAAGGTGAGCAGGAGTCGGCAGGAGGCGTTGGAGCGAGAGAGGGAGGCGAGGGAGGAGAAGGAGCAGGCGCAGGAGGGGCAGCACGCGTGGAGCAAGGACGATATCAAGTATGCGCGGGACGCGGCGGCGGTTAGCCGGAACGTGGCACGGCTGAAACGACAGCAGGCCAAGGTATGCACGATGCACGTTACCGCAACGTGGCACAGCTGAACGTGACGCATATGCTTCTGCTTGCACGGTACCGTGGCATGCCTTTGTTTATCAGCTAGACTGGTCGTCGCACGCCTCTCACATGTGCCCTCCCCCTCTGTCTCCCCTACCCCACCTCCCCTGGCCTCCACTTTCACGGCCCTTGGCTCCACACCTTGTCCGTGTGCTTGAACCAGGAGAAGCGCAACAGCTTCGTGAATGAGTGAGCAGCAGCCAAGCCACTCTGGTGATGCTTTCAAGACACGCTGGTCTGTTGCTTTTAACACGTGGCGGTCTGCTGCTGGGAACGTTGCCCGCAGCGACAGCTCGTGACGGGCTGTCAGCCGTTACGCTGCACCCCACACTGCCGCCCAACCCAAGTACACTTTGAGGCGCCTCAGAAGCAGAGTGGGGTGGCACGATTGAACCCGCCTGCACGATTGAACCTGCCTGCATGATTGAATGGCTGGTCCAGTGCCTGTGGTGTAAGGGCTAATGCACCACAGTGAGCGGTAGAAGCTGGGTGGTGGTGGAGAAAGGAAAGGACACTGGAGCTAGAGCTGTGGGCGGAGCGTTTTCTGCTGTTGATGTCCTTCTGAAGCTTTTTTTAATGGTCGAATGCATGGTAATGGATATCACAGTTGGTGTGACATGATTCACTTCTTGCTGAGATTGGGGCATGATGTTTAATGATGCTGTTTATGAGCTATTGATACACATAATGTTTCCAACTCGGTTAAACTATAAACATGCTATGCCATATGGTACATGAAGTCGGATAGGTACACCATAACCCAACTGCAGCAGCAGTATGGGCAAAAACTAGTCATCAGATCTCCAGACTACTAGAGGCTACAGAAACAACCGCGCAGCTCACACCAGCAGCAGCACCTCCCTCAGCTACAGCCTCTGTCCAAATTGAGCGACCCACAAGCAGCATGCTTATTTTGCGGCCCCTCGCAACTCCTGTCCTGAGCCTGACGCGTGAATAAACAGCTCTCAAGCAGCATGCTTAGGATCTATCACTCCTACAGCCTGAGGTCCAGATCAAGGGCAGCAGCAGCTGCACCATCCACACCAGACGCCATGCAGTCGCCACCTGTCGCAGTCTCCCCTGCCACATCTCCCTGCACTGGCGGCTCCATGCTCCCACCACCCTCTTGCTCCCCTCCCCACGCCTTCTCCTGCCCCCACTCTCCTCCTACACTCCCCCCATCCTTCGTTCCAAGCGCACCCCCGACCTGCAGCCCCATCACCACCACGTCAAGCGGTTTCAGCCCCTCCTGCCCTGCCTGGCCAGCTGGACTCTGCGGCATTCTCCCCATGGAAGCTTCCATGAAGGCCTCAAGCTCGGCCAGCCCATCCTTGACAATGCGAACAGGCGCCGCACCGCTGCTTGCCGTCTTCTCCTTCGCCTTCTCCTTTCCCTTCTCCTTCTCCTGCCATGTGCCCTTCTCCGCCCGTGTAGCGCGCCGCCACGACCGCTTGCCAGCGCTGCTCAGCGCAGAGGCCTCCACGTCAGCAATGATAGCAGAGGCAGCCGGGATGGCAGGGAGAGCCGAAAGCGGCTCCAGAGATGACAGCAGGTGCTGCCGCGGCCTCTTGAGGGAGGCTGCATTAACAGGGGTGAAGGGCTGCGCCGTGTTGAGAGCAGTGAACGCATCGCTGTCGTCCATCCACAGGCTGTCAAAGAGGGGCCGATGCTGGGTGCGCTGATGGGACGAGGCAGAGGCCGGCAGTTGCTGGGTCAAGGCTGACACTGCTGCTGCAGGACCTATTGCAGCTGCAGCAGCAGCACCAGCTGCACCAGCTGCACCGACTGCACCAGGAAGGAAGGCGGAGTCCTTGCGCTGGTATTCTGTGGGGGTGGATTCCACCTGCTCCATCTGCTGCAGCTGCTGCAGCAGCAGCGACTGCTGGGCTGGCAGCGTGCTCGATGCTGCCAGGTCATACTGTAGCACTGTGTCAGGATGTATCGAGTCAGGCTGTGACGAGGACACTCGCAGGGTCTGCCGCTGATTCAGCGCGTGCAGGTTCGGAGCCGAACGGGTGGAAGGCATGGCTCCGAGCCTCGCTGCGCTTGCTCCCACTCCCATGATTCCGCCAATGTTCGGAATGTCGTCGCTCCCCGTGGGCGATTGGGTTGTTACGGAAGTTACCGGGCTTGTATTCGTCGATCTCCAAATCGCCTTGCGTCGCAAACACCCTGTGCGACGGCGGGTTGAGAAGCTGCCAGCTTGTTGCAGAGGCACGTCGCTTGTGTCGCTGGGCTGATTCACAGCGCCGCCAATGACGCCGCCTGTCGCGGAACGGGGCTTGCCATGGTCGTCAAGAGTTATCAACCCGTGCTGCGCTGCGAGCACTTGATGCTCGTATGGATGCTGCTGCTGCTGCGGATGCTGCTGCTGATAATGATGATGATGTTGTTTGTCCAGCACGGGTGACGTGGACGCTGAGGTGGCAAGTGACAACAAGGAGCGTCGCCGCTTGATAACTTGGGGCTGACAGGAGACTGCGTAGCCAGCTGGTGACTGAGCGAGGCAACTCCCAGCGAATCCCGCTCGAGACGCCGCCGCAGAGCACGCCGCGGCTTGATTCAAGCAGCAGCGCGAAACGCCGCCGCAGGACGCACCGCAGGGCGCGCCGCAGGATACGGCGCAGGAGGCGCCGTTGCAGGAGGAGGTTCTGGAGAAATGGGAGAAGGCGATGCGGGAATGGAGGGGCGAGAGCATGGATTCGGAGCCTCGCCGCGCCGCCCACGCCGATCGCACACTGTGAGCGTGTTGCGCGCAGGAGGAGTAAGCGACGCCGTGACGGTCGCACACGCGGCCTTCGCACAGCGTGAGATCATCGTGCGACCTGAAGCTGAGATTGATGTGCGACGGACCCCCATGGTGATGCGGCGACGAGGAGGCGACGGAGGGGAGCGAGATGGCGGCGGCGGGCTCTTTCGCCGTGAAGCCACCGGCGGCGAGGCCGGTGAGGCCGGCGAAGCCGGCGAGGCCGCCGGTCATGGCCATTTTCATAGCCACGTCTTCCAGCTTCATCCTCCGCGATATCAGAAGTTCAAGACGCGTCAGAGCCGGACCCTGGAGCTTAGGAATGCTCAGTCGAGGCTCAGGAACTCGTGCGATATTCGGAGGAGTTTCCAGGGGCTCCGGGAGGCCTGGCGATGAGGAAGGTTTACACTATCGTTTGCGGAAGCTCTACACTATTCTGCGGTCTGACTGGCAACAAAAGGCAGCCGCGATGGTGACCTCGCCTTCAAGTTGGACGTGACTATCACCTCGTCGCTTCGGTAGCGCTACTAGGCTGAACCACGCCGGTATTAGTACTACAAAATCGCATGGTACCGATGTAAACAGTGCGGACGTGCTGTGTTGGATTATTGCTGTATATGAAATCCGTGTGGAGAGCGCCAGTAGCACGAAGGAAGGAAAAGGAGGTTTTGGAGGATGAATGCGTGTGATGTGATGCAAAGCTGTACAGTTCTCGGAGAACAAGCTCAGCGTTGGAGCCGACTCGGAGTGAAATGTCACAGAATGGACCAAGGCTAGAGCGACGGCGCGGGGAGCCACTGTGCGCCTCTTTCGCGCGCGGATTTCACGGCGGGCGAGAGCAGGCAGCGTGAGGGCGCTGGTTTGTGGAGTGAGGATGATGGCTGCTCGGCATTTAATGCGACTCATTGCTGCTGCGTATCCCTCCACGCAATCTAACACGGTGCGGCAGCGTTGCTCGCACAGGCAAAAATGAACGGCGTGAAAAAGAACACGCTGAGCGCCAAACGGGACTGTACACTAGGACGAAAGGCCAGAGCGCGCAGTAAGCAAATGGACTATAGTCCAGACGCGTTGGTGCTGCCTGGACTGCTCAATCATGTAGAAAAGGTTCTGTTTGGGCCACACCATCTCAACTCTCACAATGCTGCTTTTGCGACTGCCAATTTCCTGTTGCCTGCCACATGGTGATTGCGCTTTGCACGCTGACGGGAAGTGCAATGAGATGAGGCATGATCAGCGCGCTTCTTTTCGCCCCAGGCATGTGGCGTGGAACTGAAGGGAAGGGCGGGGAGGTTGGTGGAGTGAAATTCGAGGAGCCAACCAACATCGAACCGCGGTGCTGCGTGCATTCCAACAGACGCCCGAAGCGCAGGTGCAATTTGATGGTGATGCAGCAAGTTGACGCGGAGAAGGGGTTCGAGTTCGTGGCGGATATTCAGCCGAATGAGCATTGTCGAAATCTTTGCCGAATGTTCCGTTGGTGCGCCTGTAAAAACTTCCACGATTGCAGGGCCACGTGGCTCACGTTGAGCCGTCATTCATCTCTTCGCAATTCTTTCCTCACATAGGATTGCCCAAGCAGGATATACAGTACCCTGCAAATCGAAACCCAGGGGACGTGCCTTACAAACACACGAACCACAGAGTGGAAAAGGTTACAAGGAAAAATAGAGGGAGATTGCGCTAAACTCACAATGTAGAACTCATTTCTTTCGTGAAAATTTTACCCTGAAACGTTTTTATTTATTTATTTATTTTCTCGTGAAAAGGACTTTCGGGTCAAGCAGACATGTGATGGGTGAATCAAAGTGCCCAATGCCGGTTGGTTGGACGGATCTGGATCTCCCAGGTCAAGCGCTATGTCAGCAATGTCCATCAGCACGTGGCAGCTGGACGGACATTCAGGAACCATGAGAGATACTCGTCTGTGATTGGAGCAACCTCGCAGCCTCCCACAGCAGAGCAGTGCATCTCCCGAACCTGTCAGAAAGAACTTCAAGGGAAAAAATGATAACAAGAGGCGACGAGATCGTCTTAGGGTTGCGGAGCATTTCATGATGAGACTTTATTATTATACATAAAATGTTTTATTTCCATCACAACAAACATTTGATTTTTATTTCACAAACTTGAAAAAAAAAAAGCTTGCCCGATCGATTGCAATAGGTTGCTCCGCAACCCAACAATAGGTTGCTCCGCAACCCAAAAAAGGGTCCTCGCTTTGCCAGAGGCGTGAGCCAAAAAGGCCCGGCTATTTTCTGCTCCAGGGACCTCGCCTCTGAACCTGAAATACACTTCTTTCTTTTTTTAGTAATTTAAACATTTACGGGACGTTTGCGGTACCATTCAACATTTCTCAACGGGCAAAAAGAACTCAAACCCATTGGGGATGGAATTCCGTTCCGGATGGCACCAACCCTAAACACGCGGCCCTTTTGCGAGTTTAGGATTGATGCCACCCCGAGTCGCATGCGGTACCCCTACGGGTTTTAGTTCTTTTTTGTGCCCTAATACAGTGCAGTACATTGAATTCGTATAAAGGTCCCACCACAGGGTTACGACACGAATCACCCCCATGAACCTGCAAATTTGTGACCCTGTGATGTGTGGGTATTGTATGACGAATAAGGTGTAGCACAGGCTCGGAGACGAGGACTCGGGGCAAAAAGCTGCCGGACCTTTTTTGCTCACGCCTCTAGCGAAGGGCCCTTTTTTATCATATCCCGAACTTCAAAGCATTATAGTGAATTAACAAGTGTACCTCAAATCCTATAAATTTGAAAAAAAAAAGCTCCAAAACAACCTTGCCATGAGTGTGACTGATGGTGGAACCTGTCCCCTCCCAACAACAGTCCTACTTAGTCTCTGCATCTTATAGAATGAAACACACTTCTGTCATCATTGGCTCTCTTCCACACCCTTCCTCTCCCCATCCCCCCTTCTCTCCCCCCCTCTCCTCATGAACACCCCCCTCACTCGCCGTGCCACATTGAGTGCAGACAGCGCCAGCACCAGCGCCACTCCCAGCCCTCCCCTCTCCCCCATGGGCCCTGCGAGGGGCAGCGGGCGGAAGATAGGGGACGGCCCCATCCACTGCGCCGCACTGATGGACGCATGGGCCGTCACGCCGCGGGTGAACGCAGCACCAGGCACACTGCCAGCTGTAGCACCAGCTGTAGCACCAGCTGTTGAACATACATCACCCATTCTTGCTTCACTAGCCTCATCAGCAGCACCAGCAGAAGTGGCTGCGGCAGTAAACCCTTCCCCACATTCCACCTGTGCCACAGTAGCCACAGGCACGGGCACACCAGCAGCAGCAGCAGCGTCCCCTCCGTCACTCCCCCCATGGCACGCTCTCTGCTTTAGCACCAGCAGGGGCGCCAGCCCAAGGAGACACCCTATGGTGACGCCGACAGTTGCGCCGCCCGTCTCCGCCCACCGCGCTCGAGAATCTGCGAGCTGCTTGGAGGAGAAGTTGACGTCCGGCAGGAAGTGTCCTGTAGCGCCCTCGATGTACTCGCGGAAAATCGTGCCGATTATGTCGGATACTGCGTTGCCCAGACCCGCCGCCTTGAGGGGAGAGGAGAGAGTTGACAGAGAGAATGGGCAGGGGTGGAAGTAAGGCATGATGAATAATGTGAAAGGGTAGGTGAAAGGGTTGAGGTAGAAATAGGAGTGCACCAGGAAAGGGTCTTCGTGATTCTTGGCAAGCATAAGAGTTGAACACACGGTATTGCTGCATATACCATGCAAGGGCATGCAGGAGTGTACCATGAGAGTGGAAATGCCGAACGCAGCGCCCAGAGTGCCCTCGATGATGTCACCAGCGATGATCATGATGGTGTTGTCTGGGTAGGGAATGCAGAGAGTTCGGAAGGTGCGGCAGAGAAGCACATTGCAGAGCCGCACGGGACATGGCAGCACGGGACATGGCAGCACGGGACATGGCATGGCTTGAGCTGCGTTGCATTCAAGTAGCATTCTTCTCTGCTCTCATGTTTCATCATGTTTCATTTGGGCGTCTGATGCCTTTATCATTTAACGTCAAGCGCAAATTAATCTACCCTGCAAGAGTTAAGTGTTAGATGATGTCAGTCTGCCCATGACCCTTGCTCCTTGCCGCAAGTCCTAGGATCCTTGGAACCCTGTTACCCTCTCCCGTACCCACATTTTCTGCACCTCTTCCCAACGACTAGTTTCCCCACACTCGCAATCCTCATCCCTTAACCCCCTCCCCACCCCTCTCCCCTTTTCTCCCACAATCCGGTTCCACCCCCACTCCCCACCCTCACCCCCCCCCTCCCCTTTTCTCACTCACCTGTCACGCCGAACCCTATGTTTCCTGCAGTGCGGGGAGGGAGTGGCAAGGGGAAAGAGAGAGCAGGGGAGCAGGGGAGGGAGTCACAAGGGGAAGAGCAGCGCAGGGGAGGGCATAGAGAAAGGATGTTCGAATGAAGGACGGGGCTTGACTAGAGGAGGGCGGAGAAGGTGGAGACGAAAGGTCAAAGAGAGCGGGGAAGAGGAGCGCAAGCACCAATCTAGGGACTGCCAATGCAGGGGTGAGGTGCAGCTGATGCACCAACGTCACACCTAATAACGAACACCGGACTCACCTATAGCGGAGCGCGTAGCTAGTAACCCCAGCTGATGCACATTCAACGGTCTATCCGCGGCCTTTTATCTTGGCGTGCTGCGCCTCCACGTACGTCACGAACCCCCCATAAGCGACCCCTCTTATAACGAATCCAGCACGAACCTATAGCGGAGCGCGTAGCGAGTAACCCCAGCTGGTGCACGTTGAGCGGGCGGTCCGCGGCCTCCATCTTGGCGTTCTGCGCCTCGACGTACGTGGCGAACTCGTGCGAGTCGAGCACGCCGTCATGGTTCACGTCCGCCGCCTGGAACTCCAACGCCGCGTCGTGCTTGTCCGTCGCTGTGTGAACGGGGGGGAAGGGGGGGGAGGGTAGAGAGAGGAAGGGGGGAGGAGGAGGAGAAAGGAGCCGAGCGGCAAAGACGGAGGGGCAAGAATGAGGCTGGGAAGGAGAGACGGATGTGGGCGACAGACGGCAGTCGAGGGAGAGCAGCTCGTGCGAGTCCAGCACGCCGTTGTGGTTCACGCCTGCCTCAACCTCCAACGCCGCGTCGTGCTTGTCCCTCGCTGGACAAGTGGGGGGGGCGGGGAAAAGGGGGCGGGGCGGGCGGGGCGGGGGGGGAGGGGGGTAGAGGTGGGAAAGGAGGAGCCGAGCGGCGATGGCGCGGCAGAATGAGGCTGGGAGGGGAAGGAGGGACGGGAGCGGGCGACAGACGGCAAGCGAGGGAGTGCAGCGGCGTTGAAATGGACACGCACATCCCGGGAAAAGCGCCGTCAGCAGCGCCGCACGCCCCGCGTGGTCGAGCTGCCGGACGAGCTCCCCCGCCGCGGCCTCGCCGAGCTGCACGTCCGCCGCGCCGCCGCTCGCGGCGCCGCCATTCGCGGAGGCTGACGTGGAGACGGAGAGCAGACGCGCCACCTCAGCGAGCTGCGCCTCGTGCTCCGGCTCCAGAAGCTCCACGGCTGTAGCGCCGACGTCGCCGCTCGGCGCGCTGCTGCTGGTTTCGTGCGACGCGTGGAGGATGGGCAAGCGGCGAAGGCGGCGTTGGATGCGGGCGTGGTTGGCGACGGACGGTTTTTCGAGTCTAGACGACGCGCTGCGAGAAAATCGCGCGGGGACTGCTTGAATGGCCTGTACGGCCAGGCTCTGGCTTATAGCGGTCGCCATCTGTGATTGTAGCGAAACCGGTGCGAGTGATAACGAAATTCAGAAGTTACAGCGAGTCAAGCGTATGGAGAGGGAGATGTCTTTTAGCGGAGATCAGACAGTCGTTCTGACTCAGCACTCCTCGTCGGGCTCGGTAGTCTAGCGCAGAAATTGCTCTTTGCGGCGATAACAATACGCACCCTACGAATAAGTTCCAGGTGCTAGCAGCAAGTCTTGTTTGAATTGTCACTGGCCTTCTCTCTCTCAGTACTGTACATCTCATGTAAGCTTTGCGTGAGAGGGGGCGATGGCTGTTAGCTTTGCGCGGGAGTGAGGTGAGGGGTGGCGCAAAATTGTTGGGGCGCGCGGGGAAAGCGAGAGGGGAGCGCGGAACTGGTGTGCGCGCTCTTCCCCCGCGGAAACCAAGCCGGGGGAAGGAAGTCTAGGTACGGTGAGGTGAGTTTGAGGGCTTGTTGCCGTGAAGTGATGTGATTGGTGAGAATGAGGCCAGGAGTATCTTTGGAGCTTCGAGCGTGAGGTATGGGCTTGTTACGCTATCTGAGAAAGTTTCGAGATCGTCCAATCAAAAGTGATGATTCTCTGACCGAGTGGTGAGAAAAGCCAGGGTGGATCAAGAGGCGAGCCAGCTTGGCCAGGTCGTGTCACGTCTGGAATTTACACGCTCCAAAGGCCCCAGAACACGTCATGACGCCTTGCTGGCGAAAACTATCTAGGCTGCGAGTGGTCAAAGCAGCAGGGCAGTTCGTGAATATCGAAACTGCGACCTTTGCGAAGCCCGCGAAAGAGTCAAGCATTTCTAAGCTAATCAGCAACAGCGCACGAGCGTGAATTCCCCATTTTCGTGGTACACCTCACTCGTTTACACGCTTCGCTTCCTGCTCGCACGCTCGTTACCCCCTCACATAATTCGCCAGTTCGTTCTCCCCACGTGCAGCTCACCTTTTTCCGCCGAACTGAATGGGAAAACCTAATGCGCGCGTCGGTTACCGAGTCTATTTCCGCACCCCAGAGACCAGTCACGAAAGCCCGAACCTGCCCGACTCCAGCCAGACCCCTTCTTCCAAGCCTGATCCCCCCGAACGAAACCCCTCATCAGCGCAGCCTGCATCCTTCCGCAACGAGGAGGGCGAATTGCGCCGATTGCGTTTCGTTCATCGAGGGGAAAGGTGCAAAACGTGCCACTGCTGCTTCACAACATTGGACTCACTTCAGTTATCTCACCAGTTACTAAAAACCAAACACGCAAGTCCCTTGCCAAGGGAAGCAGTCTATTGAAACCGTAGCAGCAGAAGCGGGCCGAGATCAGCCCGATCAGCGTGATCAGCCCTGAAAGACAAGCAGCCAGAATTCCACATTGATCAATCTTCAAGGAAAGGTCAAACAGCTACACCGTCAGCCATCGTTCCTTCGCGCGTCGCTCTCGCCAGCATGACTGCGACCATAGCAACCGTCGTGTCGGCAAAAGCCGCATGTCTGCCAACGCCAGTACCGAAACTTTTCCGAGTGAACTTAAACACATCCCTGGCGGCGGTGCCGCTCCCGGAACGAACCAGACGACCCTCATTCGTTTCCCGCTTCTCGCGGCGCCAGCAGGCGCAACCGTGCCGCGCCGCTGCAAGCGACAAGGAAGGCAGGCTGCCGCCGTCTCCCGCGATCGCGCGGAGCGTGTCGGCGGCGGCGTCCGCGGATTCGTCGTCGGCGGGATCGGCAGAAGCGGGAACGACTCTCTTGGCGGAGACAGACCAGCAGAAGCTTGTATCGGACGTCGCGTGGCTTTTATCGAGACCGCGGAGCTACTACTATCGGGAACACCACCACGAGCAGCAGCACGAGCGCCACGGGCTCTTCAGCGCGCTCCGCAAGAGCGAGGAACAAGCGCAAGCCGCGGGGAACGGCGCCGCGGGAAGTAACGACGACGAGCGGGCGGCGGCGGCGAGCGTGAAGGAAGGGACGACGATCGGCGAGGTGGCGGCGATGGAGCTCGTGCGACAGCTGGACCCGCAGGGCCGGCAGGTGCTGCTCACCGCGCTCTTCCCGGGAGGTGCGAGAATGTGCGGGATTCGCCGGGAAGCGCGTCGCTCCCGCATCTGAGTCACTCACCGCGCTCTGTTGTCTAATTGAGCCGTCGTAGTAACCGTTCCCCCGTCCCTTCCCCTCCCCCCGCCACCATCCCGGGCCGACTTTTGAGTCGACTCAAAAGCCACCCCGGGCCGTGCGCTGAAGGGGGAGTTTGAGCAAGTGTACAGCCGTCCTTGTATGCAAACCCCCCCCACCCCCTCGCCCCCCTTCCCCCCCCCCGCCCCTTTGCAACCACCCGTGTGCAGCCGACAACTCGGAGGCGGAGGAGGAGTTCGAGCACGCGGACGCGCACCACGACGGTGTGATCAGCGAGGGCGAGTTCGAGCAGTACGTGGACGAGCAGCAGGCGAAGATCGACGCGCTGCACCAGCCGCTCGACATGAAGCAACTCGCGCTGCTCGCGAGGAAGGAATTGATAGGTGCGTGAAGTGACGCGTGCGATGCATCCAAGTGGTGGTAACTCGAGGCAGCAGGCGACGATCGGCGCGCTGCACCAGCCGCTCGACATGAAGCAGCTCGCGCTGCTCGCCAGGAAAGAGGCCATCGATGCGTTGAAGGCCTACTCTGAATGTGTGTGATGTTTTCGTGACGCCTCCCATGGCAGAGCCTGGATCGAGTTTCTTTGGCTGTTGACCCTCACCGTCGTTCGAGCATCGCCAGCTTGTGTGCCCATCCTCCCTCATTCCGTCCCTCCCTCCTTCCCACTCTCTCCCCCCCCCCCCCACTTCCCCCCTCTCCCCTCCCCTCCCTCCTTCCCACTTTCTCCCCCCCCCCCCCCCACTTCCCCTCCCCTCCCCTCCCCTCCCCTCCCCTTCCCTCCCCTCCCCTCCCCTCCCTTTCCCTTCCCTCCCCTCCCCTCCCCTCCCTGCTTGCATTCCGGTCGTCGGCCGCTGCTGCTCCTCCCGGCACTCCACTGCAATCGCTACCATCGATGCGATCGATGCCATCGCTGCCATCGCTGCCATCGCTGCCATCGCTGCCATCGCTGCCATCGCTGCTATCGCTGCCATCAGGAAACATGGGCTTCGGAATCACAAGTGAGCGCCTGGGGAATTTGATGGGAACGGGGAGATAAAGGCGCGGGTGGGAAAAAGGGAGGGAGCGGTGAGAAACGGGAAGGGGATACAGATGGGGGGAGCGGTCGAGTCTGGTGGTAACCATATGAGCCGTTGAGTGAAAGGGGCTGGGTACAGAGCAAACACAGTTACGGCATGAGCTTGGAGCATGATGTCAGAGTAGCAGTCCGTTTCCTTTATCCCGCACCATTCGTCTCTCACGCGTTTTCTCCCCCACACACTCTTGCATCTACCCCTCTCCCTCTTCCTATGTGTGCTTTTCTCAGAGAACACGGTGATGATTATATCGGGCGACCTTATAGCGAGTACGCTTGGAGCTGCTTTCGGCTTCTCCACCCTCATGGTGAGCCGCACACACAAAGCCAACAATCTCCATCGCAAGCGTAACTCATGATTCCATTCACAAGCAAGCGCGCATGCAGAACAAATCGAACCACATTCCGACAGCCACTCAAACCCGCCTCTGTCCGCCCTTGTCGTCACCCTCCCCTTCACTAACCGCGTGATAGGAGTCTAGTTTTGAGGCGCCTCACAACCAAACCTGCCTCTGTCCGCCCTTGTCGTCACCCTCCCCTTCACTATCACTCCCCATCCTCCCTTCCGCACCCTTCTTCCCTCCTCTCAACTCCCCCTCCCCCCTCCCCCTCCTATCACTCGCTCTCTGCGTGACTGGGCAACGCGGTAGCGAATGCGGTGGGCACATGGTGCCAGGAGGGCATAGAGGCCTCATCCTCCTCCCTCTCCCGAATCCCATCTTCTCCACTCGAATCCGCATTCCCCTCTCCACACTCTTCCTTCCCACCTCCCCCCCTCCTGCCAGACTGCTGGGCTTGGCAACGCAGTAGCGGATCTGGCGGGCACTTGGTGCAGGGAGGGCATAGAGGCAGCCTCCTCCTTCCTCTTCCCATCCTCCTTATTCGCCTCCCCACCCTCTTCCTTCCAATCTCCCCCCCCTCTCCCCCCTCCCATTTCAGGCTGCTGGACTAGGCAATGCTGTGGCGGACGTGGTGGGCACGTGGTGCCGGGAGGGCATAGAGGCGTCGTCGTCCAAGCTACTGCCGGGCTCTGCCTTCTCCTCGCACCAGCTCGAGCAGCCCAAGGCGCAGCTCTTCGCCACGGGGGGCGCTGTCGTAGGGGTCACCGTGGGGGGGCTCATTGGCCTTTCGCCGCTGTTTTTCCTCCCGAGCCGGGGGGCCGGGAGTGGCGCGGGTGGGCACGGGGCGGGTCCGGCGGTGACTGCTGGCGTGGCGGCCGCTTCGGCGGCTGCTTCAGCGATGAAGGTTGTTGCTCCAATCGCTACTATTGCATCAGCGGATGGGGTTGAGGAGGCCGCAGCTAGTCACTCCCATTCTGCTGCTGCTGCTGCTGCTACAGCCGGCGCTACAGCTGGCAGTGTGCCTGGTGCTGCGTTCACCCGCGGCATGACGGCCCATGCGTCCATCAGTGCGGCGCAGTGGATGGGGCCGTCCCCCATCTTCCGCCCGCTGCCCCTCGCAGGGCCCATGGGGGAGAGGGGAGGGCTGGGAGTGGCGCTGGTGCTGGCGCTGTCTGCACTCAATCTGGCACGGCGAGTGAGGGGGGTGTTCATGAGGAGGGGGGGGGAGAGAAGGGGGGATGGGGAGGGGATGTCGCAATAAGAGCGTTGTCCTAGTGGGATTGATGAGGAGGCAAAATCGCTTAGTGGAACATAAGGCACATCGACATATACATTTGACAATTGGGTTGCATCTTCAATCTTGCTAGGCTTCACAAACAGCATAGGGGTTTGTTTTTATACGTTTTAAAGTTCCGTTTCAGTATTTGGTACTGTGTGGTCGGGCTCTTCTTGTATTGAAGTACCGTAATTTATGTGTCCATTTTGCGGCGCCACCCTGGCTTCAGATGAATATTCCCCACCACATTTTCAGGGGCTGCTCGTTGCAGCCGAGCCAATGATGTTTAGACAATTCGGTAAGTGACGTGACACCCTGCAACTGCAACCTCAGATGATTTATCCGTCGATCAATCTCCGCCTGTGAAATCTTAGCCATCAGCTTGCTACAGTAACTTGCACGGCCGTGGACAAGACTCGTGCAAAGCGGAGGAGATCGCGCGCTTTCACAAAACTCAAGAACGTTTTCGAATGGTCGACTCTTTTTGCGCGCGATCTATAGCATGCCCCAGTTACCCAAAACGGTCGACCCCCGCCCGACTGTACCCGTTTTCTTTTTGATGTGCCGAATATTGGAAATGTAATTTTGGGTCGTTGTGAAAACATTTGCCGGATCCCAATTCAACTGTTGCGCGAACATGGATCGACAGAAATCGAAGCACAAGTGTCGGGCCTTACATTTGGTTTTTGGGGCACCGTCAGATCTAGGTATGTGGCCGAAGCTACTCGTCAGAATCTGTGCTTAGCACTCTGTTCAGTCAAAATTCACCCATCAAATCCGGGTTTCACAGCCAGTTTTGCCAAAATTCACCCGTCAAAATCTGGGTTCAAACCCTGTTTTTGGAAAAGTTCCCCATTGGAATCCGAGTTCAGCAAAAACCTCACCCGCCATTTTGTCGAAATCTGGACGTTGTGCCCAAAATGGTTGCGCGTTCCTTTTCCGAATGCTGCAGCCCTTAAAGCCGTTGACCCAAATTGCAAAAATTGTGTTTCAAGATTATTTACCTTGAACACCCCAAGCGGTAACCCAGTACCCCAAAGGGATAATTGCAATTGAATTCGCAACCCAAAACGATAGGGTTCAGAAAAAGAAGCGCGCCATCCCTAACATATTCCGCACCAACCCCCGACACATGTGGCACTTGAGCACCATGAAAATTGAAAGCGTGTGTGTACAATTTGGGATTTTCGGAGAGCAAAACCCAACCCACAGTCGAGCCTTGCGAATCGTGTTCATCACAATAATGTAGTTGTGTTGTAGTAGTACCCTATTATGGAAAATGATACAAACAATTTCGTGGCAAATGATAAAACCGACAAAACCAGGAAACAAGGTTTGGAAAGGAGCAATAAATTACGCCCCTGTTAAAGAAACCCCTTCGCACGTGCCATATACATTTCGTGCCTTGTGCCACTCTAGCCAGTTATTCTTCCCCCACTTCCCCCTTGCGCCTTGCGCGCGCCCCCGCTTTCCCTTTCCCCACCCTCGATGTCCTCCAATCGTCGTTTGCGAATGTTTTGGTTCTGTTATAATTTTAATGCTCGTTCTGATTGGTTTTTGTAGTGTGCTGTGTTCGCCCATTCTCGCCACCTTCTCGCCGCTACTCCATGCCCCTGTTCTTTCTCCAGCTCAACTTTTTGCCTGGTTCATCTTTATTTATCTTGTACGTTTTGGGTCAACGGCTTTAATGTGCCATAATTGTTTGCCTTATTACTCCTTATTGGACCCTACACAGGCTGCCCAGACCAGCTGCCCCGAAAAAACGTCGTGGCATATGAACCCAACACGAAAACGGGTACAGTCGGGGGGGGCTGACCGCTGTAAACCATTCTTGATTTTCGTCAATTTGTGCGATCTCCTCTGCCAAGCGCTTGTCCCGACATCGAGCCGCAAACCAAGCCTACATTTGACAGCTGTCACCTCAGCTGCGGAATTGCTGGCGTCGCTTGGAACTCTGCCTCTTCGTTCCCCCAAGGGCCTCTATCCATTTACCCTCTGCCCCCACCCCCACATTCTCCCCTTGTCCCCGCGACAGTACTGTACAGGGTGCCTCGTTTCCCCTTGTTTGGTCCCCCATTCCCCCCTTAGCGCTTCAGCCAGGTGCGTGCGCGTGAAGTCGCGCACGTTCAAAAAAAATCCCCGCCCCGCCATTCCTCTCTCCCAACCAACCATCAGCCGCAAGCATTTTGTGTGCATGCATTGCAGTGCTCCTTGGTGGGATAACACAGGCGATCACTGGCCTTTTGGGTGCTTATCTCAATTCTTGAACCGTCAGAGCCGCCAATTACAAGCTGCTCCTTCCCACGTGGCGGGCTTGGGCCGCTGCACATTATTTATCCACCACGGTTACCAATCACCAGCAGTCGCCTCTAAATTTCCTCGCGTCTCCGTTTCTAGCTCGGCCGACGTCGGCTTGTCGCAATTCGTCGGTTCTCATTTGGGCTCTAAACCCCTCCTTGCGGTTCCTCCTCTTATACACCACACCCGCTAAACGAGGCCGCCAGGTGTCAAGAAAACGACCAACGAAGCTGCCCACAGACGCGTTAACTTCTTTGTACTGGCAGCACATTTTGGCCGCTGAGTGAAACACTTAGCTAAACATGGCGTCGCTTGAAGTGCTGGCGTACACGTTCGGCGTGCTGGCCGTGGTGCTGTTCGGCGCGGGCGCGTGCGCGTTCGCGATCTACCGCGAGGTGAAGCAGGGCGGCCCCGACACGCCCGACTTCTTCCTCACGGCGCGAAAGTCGGTCCCCATGCTCACCATCGCGTGGTAAGTTACCATCTTAAAACCCCTTAACCCCCCCTCCATTGAAGCCCCAAAGCCGCCCCTCTTCCGCTTGCGCAAGTCGTTTTGCGTGTGCGCGATGCGCCCAGCGCAATGCGCTCACTACGGCGCAATGCGCTCATTACTGCGCAATGCGCTCATTCGGCGCAGTGCGCTCATTACTGCGCAATGCGCTCATCCGGCGCAGTGCGCTCATAACGGCGGCACTCATTACGGCGCAATGCGCTCACTAGGGCGCAATGCGCTCATTACGGCGCAATGCGCTCATCATGGGCGCTGTTCGGGTCTGGGGCCTCGAAGCTCGTACCCCCTTCCCCCCCAGATGCCCGTTGACTTTTCTATCCCCCGCCTCCTAACCTCCTCGCCCCCCCTCCTCCCCCCTTACTCCCCTTCCCCTTACTCCCCTTCCCCTTACTCCCCTTCCCCTTACTCTTGCCCACCCAAGCCTTAGGTCCTAAGAGCATCACTCCCTCCCCCCTTCCCTTCCCCCTTCCCTTCCCCCTTCCCCCTTCCCTTCCCCCTTCCCCCTTCCACCCCCCCACTTCTTCCCCCCCCGCCTTCTCCCGCAGGTCGTTCTACGCGGGCGCGATGGGGTCGTGGGCGCTGTTCGGGCCGCCGAGCTACTGCACGTACGCGGGCACGCTGGGGATGATAATGTACTCGATATCAGCAGGCCTGCCTATCATCATAGTGGCCTACTTCGGTGACGTCATCCACCGCCTCGTGCCGTCCGTCGTCTCCATGGCGGACTACGTGCGCCGCCGCTTCGGCCTGTGAGTCTGTGAGGTTTGGGTGTGTGAGGGTTGAGCCGGTGAGGGTTGAGCCGGCGAGGGTTGAGGCGGTGAGGGTTGAGGCGGTGAGGGTTGAGGCGGTGAGGGTTGAGGCGGTGAGGGTTGAGGCGGTGAGGGTTGAGCCGGCGAGGGTTGAGCTGGCGAGGGTTGAGCCGGTGAGGGTTGAGCCGGTGAGGGTTGAGGCGGTGAGGGTTGAGGCGGTGAGGGTTGAGGCGGTGAGGGTTGAGGCGGTGAGGGTTGAGGCGGTGAGGGTTGAGGCGGTTTTGTTTGGGTCAAGCGAGGGAAGTCTTCCCACGTGTAGTCCTGCCGTCCGTCGTCTCCATGGCGGACTACGTGCGCCGCCGCTTCGGCCTGTGAGTGGATTCAGTTCGTGTCGGCCCCGCACTGCGGGGCTGGGCTGTGAGGTTTGAGTCATCGGGTGAAGGCTTTACGGTTTGGTATTAGCGCCTAAAAGTCTTGCCCTCCGTCGTCTCCATGGCGGACTACCTCCGGAATGTGAGTCGCGGTAGCGCGCACCGGAAATTGCCCATGTCCCAGCTCATGCCCCAGCTCATGTTTTTTTTTTAGGCGCCTCAAAAATTGCCCATGTCCCAGCTCATGCCCCATAAACCCGAAATCCGAAACCCCTCTCCCCCAGCATCGTCTCTCCTTCCGTGTCTCTCCTCGTGCTTTTCACAGGGAGCGGAGTATACGGCAGTGGGCAGCCTCTTCCCACCTGCCTTTCACACGCTCCGCCTTGCCCCATCCCCCTTGCTCCCCTTCCCCTTGCAGCCCAAACCCTTGCTCCCCTTACACTTGCTCCCCCTTCTCTTCCCCCCAGCCTCGTCTCCCTGTACGTGGCGGCGCTGATGCTGTTCAACATGGGCGTGGCCATCACAGCGGAGTACACCGCAGTGGGCAGCCTCTTCCCACTCGCTTCTCACACCCTCCCCTTGCTCCCCCTCCCCTTGCTCTCCCTCCCCTTGCTCCCCCTCCCCTTGCTCCCCCTCCCGTTGCTCCCCCTCCCCTTGCTCCCCCTTTCCTTTGCTCCCCCTTCCCCTTACCCCTCAGCGGCGTGTCGCTCTACGTGGCGGCGCTGATGCTGTTCAACATGGGCGTGGCCATCACAGCGGAGTACACCGCAGTGGGCAGCCTGTTCGCCGACATCATCGGCACCAAGAGCCTGCCCATCATCCTCGTTATAGGGCTCGTCTCGCTGCTCTACACCGCCATTGGGGGGCTCTACGTGTCCATTATCACGGACCAGTGGCAGGTGGGTCAATGGGCCAATGCGCTGAGGAATTGATACAACGGGCGGCTGGGTGACCCGTGGCAGGTGGGTGGATAGACACAACCAGAGGCACTAATGGACGGCACCACACAACCAGTGTGTGGTGAAAGGGATGGGTGTCATGCACTAGTGGACGGCAAGTCCACCACTAGACAGTGGGCCAGTGGACTAATTGTCCATTACTGGTTGTCTTCGTCCACTAGTAAGTGGACTGAGGCCGAGGCTCTTTTCTTCTTCGACGCCCCCCTCGGCTCACTCTCTGCTCGAAACCCCTCTCCCTCCCGCCCCTCTCCAAGTCCCCCAACACCTCCCCAGGCGGGCATCTCGGTGGCCTTTGTCCTCACGCTCTTCATCTTCGTCTGCGCCACCTTCCCTGCCCGTCGGCCTGCTGCCCTCGCCCCTCATTTCCCTCACCTGGTCCCCTTCCCTTCCCGCGCCCTCCCTACCAACGCCCATACAGGCGGGCATCTCAGTGGTGTTCGTGCTCACGCTCTTCATCTTCGTCTGTGCCACCTTCGACGCGCCGCTCAGCCCACTGCCGTCGGAGCCGGTGGATCTGTCGTGGAGCAACAAGTACGGGCTGGCTTCTATTGCCGTCATGCCCATCTCGCTCATCTCCTCCACGCTCTTCAGCGAGGCCATGTGGCAACGGTGAGTGCACTCAAGCACTGGGGGCTGGGGGGCTATCAGCGAGGCCATGTGGCAGCGGTGAGTGCAACCGGGTCAGTGGGTACGGCAATTCGCAGGTGGTGGTGCTATCAGCGTCACAGGCGATCAGCATCTCTTTCCACCCTAACTCGGCTCCCCCTCCTCTGTTGCTCCTCCAACCCTCCGTGCCATCTCTTTGCCCTTGCCCGATTCTCCCTTGCTCTTACCAGGTGCTGGGCATCGGCGAGCCGGAAGGCGCTGCTGGGAGGAGCAGCGCTGGCATCTGTGGCAGTCACCATCGTCGTCTTCCTCTTTGGCTTCGGAGGTGCGCACTCGCTTGCTCCCCTTGCTAGCTGCTGCTGCTGCTCTCTTCTCCTTTCATTCACTTCACATACTCGTGCCTCCACCTCCTTTGCTCATGTGCCTCACTTCCCTCTCACTCTTTTGCCTCTAGATACATGAATGAAACCACCTCTTTCCCTCTAAGCTTCCCCTCATTCCCACCACCAGACCTCCTAGCAGTGCAGGGTAGCGTGAGGCAGCCCGATTACACATTCACCTGCACCAACACCATCCCTTTCTCCCCCTGCCCTTATCTCCTGCCCTTATCTCCTGCCCTTACTCCTGCCCTTATTTCTTGCCCTTATCTCCTGCCCCCCTCACCCCCACCACCAGGCCTACTTGCGGTGTGGGGCGGCGTGTGGCAGCCCAACGAGGACTTCACCAACACCAACACGGTGCTTTTCTCGCTCTTCAACAACACCACGTGGATCCTGGTCATCGCCACCGTCCTCGCCGTCGTCATGTCGGAATCCGCCGTCGATTCCCTCCAAAACGCCATCGCCGACACGCTCTCCACCGCCCTCATCGCCATCACCAACTCGCTCCTCACGCTCGTCCACGGCCCAGTCAAGGGCCCCGTGCTGCAGACCGTGTTCATGGGCGCGTACGAGCAGTACGGCATCTGGGGCATCCGCTGCATCGTCCTCCTGTTCAACATCCCCCCGCTGGTCGTGGCCCTCAAGGGCTACAACGTGCTGCAGCTCTTCCTGCTCGCCAACCTCCTCACCACCACCTCAGTCATTCCGGTGCTTTCGGGGGTCATCCCGGGGAAGTGGACCCGGAAAGCCATCACCCCCTTCTCGGTCTCCCTGGGGTGCCTGTTGGGGCTCGCTTCGCTCTTCATCTGGACGCAGATTCGCGTCAACCAGACCGGCATGACGTACTGCGACGCGCTCTACGACGTGTTTCTCAACGCGTACGACTATCCGCCGTTCCTCATGGCGCTCGCGTTTTCGATGGTCGGGATGGTGGTGGGAGCGGGGTTGGAGGCGGTGGTGAGGATGGGGATGAGGTGGGAGTACCCGGAGTACGACCTGGGGGCGCCAGAGGAGATGGAGGCATTGCAGGAAGCGGTAGGGATGGAGGGGGGGGGGAGAAGGGCGAGGCGCTGGCGTTGGGGATGGTTGAGTAGGCAGGGCTATGGTGTTGTTGAACTATTGATTGATGTGTTTTTACTCAGGCAGTGTAGCAGTTTAGGAGCCTCTAGGGGGCGGGACCGGTGTAACCTGGCAATAAATCCGTGTCTTACGGAACTGGTCTGGTCTGGTCTGGTCTGGTACGGTATTAGAAAGCCATTGGGGAGGGAGGGAGGAGCATGTGGATGGAAACAGCTGTGGAAGTGGAAGCACAGCCTGGGTTATGGAGCTAACGCGCAATGCACTGGGCATTGAGAACTGGCTCAGGCACTGGAGCTGGCAGGCAGAAACAATCTGGGCTTGCATTCCATGATCCATTGCATTGCAGGCAGATCAGCTCCAACATATGCTCCAACATGTGTCGGCAATGCGCATGAGCTGGCGAAGCACCCCCTTCAGCCAAGCTTCATCCCCCAGTTCTCAACATCACCCTAACTTTTACAGAATCATCCCAACCCACCCCACCCCTCCCCACCACATCACACCCCTGAACACCACACCCCTGACCTGAGCACCACACATGGCCCATGAGTAGCAAGAAGAGGGCTCAAATCAAGCCGGGCACAAACATGCATGCGCTTCTGATCGAGGCCTACACACTCCCCTGCACCCACTTTCAGCGTGCATCGCAGCTTATTCCCGAATCTCAGCCGACCACATCGTCCCACCCCCATGAACCCTGAACTTGAGAGGCTAGCAACGCATGGGATGCAGCACCTGCCCTTTCATGCTGCTTCCACTGCTCTCACTCTTGCACTCCCTTCTCCCCCCCGCCCCCTCCCCCCCACCCCCACCCCCCACGCGCCTTGAGCACTTCTCAAGAAGACAGGGTTTGAATGGATCCGCAATCAGCACTCCCAACCCTCCTTGACGAGTCTCTGTTTGAGGCGCCTCAAAAATGCACTTCTCAAGAAGACAGGATTTGACACAGGATCTGCAATCAGCGCTCCCAACCCTCCCCCTCCCCCAACCCCCCTTGCTGTGTAACTGCTGGAATCAGCCGGCATCACTGCAGAGAGCAGCCGCACACGTCATCACTGCAGGGAGCAGCTACACACGTCATCACTGCAGGGAGCAGCTACACACGTCATCACTGCAGGGAGCAGCCACACACATCATCCTCTTCCGCGTCGTAGTACCTGCGTTGCCTGGGCGGCAAGCTAATGTCCTCCCACTCCATGGCGCTGCGCGGAATGTCGAGAGAGTGGAAGGGGGGTTGGGAACGGGGGGGTGGGAACGGGGGGTTGGGAAGGGGGGTTGCGAAGGGGGGTTGCGAAGGGGGGGTGGGAACGGGGGGGAAAGGGGGGAAAGGGGGGAAGAGGAGGGAGTGACGGCGGTTGGTGCGGGTGCGAGGGGGTTGGCGGTCGAGGAAAGGAGGGGAGGGGGGGAGGGGACAAGAGAGCAGGGAGTGGGGGGATGTGAGGGAGTGGATAAGAGGATAGCGCCAGGCGTGCATGGTCACATGATGCGGGGATTGTTACAGCACTGCGCGACGCACCTTCGCTCGAATTCGCGAACGTCGACGAGCGACCCGCCGTCCTCCTCGTCGCACCAGCGAACGCGCTGCCCTTTGCTGTTGGGCGACTTGCCGGGCGATTCTGTCGCACTCGCCGGCGACACCGGCGGAAATCTGTGCGGCCCGAACGGCCACGTGGCGCCGAATGGACGGTCGTCGTCGAGAGTCAACGCAGGTCTCGAGGATTCAACGTCGTTCTGTTGAGCCAACTCGCGATTCGACGATGGTTGGACAATCAGCGGCTCGGGAACACTCAACCTTGCACTGCCGGTGTGAGAAGAATCGGAAATTTCGAACGAATCTTCGCTCCCGAACGACGAAAATCCACTGTACGAATCGCCGCTGCTGGATGACTCGTCGTCGCTTGACAGGTCGTCACTTTCGCACGATCGCTCGCTGTCGCACGAGTTTTTGCCGTCGCATGAAGAGGTCGTCGCCCCACACTGCGCGTCCTCTCCGTCCCTTACATCCTCGTTAGCAGCTGACTTGGTATAATCGCATGTTTTCTGCTTAGGCGCGGCGGTCTCAGTACCTGCAAGGAGTTCTTTATCCTTCCGACAGGAAGGAAGGACCTTCCGATACGAGTTAATATCGGTTGGAATGTCCTTTCGAGTACATCGGGACACATCGAACAGCTGAGCCGCCGGTGGTATCAGGGGTTCCTCGTCGCCCTCCTCCGCCCCGCAACCGTTTTGCCGAACCGAAAGCTGGTGGTCCGGCGGCGAGGCTTGGGAGAGCTCAAGCAGGACATCCCGAAGCTGAAGGGAAGGGTTGGCGCGGAGCTGAGCGGATAACCAAAGGCTGTAGCTGAGTAGAGGAATGGCGAGAGGCGGCGGGAGAGAGAGGGGGGGCGTGCTGTGCAGGTCGAGTTCGGAAAAGTCGATTTCGCCAGGAGACATGGCTGCGGCTAGCACTGATGACATTGACAACCGTTGGGCAAACGTTGGCTGTTGGACGAGGCGCTTTCTGACGTGGCGTTCTGTGGATTCTCACACCTATGACTTCGTCTTAAAGCCCGGCCGTTTTCATGCAAGGAGCAGCTTACGGAGTTGGAGGGAGACGCAGGGTGAAGTGAGAGACGAGAAACAGGGCAAGCGCGAACTGCGGCGCTCCTTGCTGAAAATGGCGTTTGCGGGCTTCCCCCTGCTTCGTCGACCTCAAATAATGCCCTTGCATGTCGCACCGCGCTGCTTGCAAGTAGGAGCTGCGTGGGGGAGGGGAGGGGCATTTCGAGCGCGGTTCCGTGGGCAGGCTTGAAAACGACTTTAGTGAGCTGTGCAGCCAAACCGACCGGGAAGGGAAATCGTGGGCGTCGGATACGCTCGGAGATAGATTTTGACGGTGAGATGACTGGTGAAAGGTCAGAACAAAAAAATTAGCTCCCTCCATCCCTCAAGGAAAGCACGATTTGCCCAGCTTGTTTGGAACGCGTAACAAGGCCAGACAAAAGTCCAGTTGCGCCTTGAAGGTCAAATCCTATTGGCCAGAGCGCCGTTCTGCACAGTGCAGCCCGTGTCACTCGCAGTGGAGTGCGGCGATTTTTTTTATATTTTTTTTTTTTTCGTTTAGGGTGGAATGTTCAGTGCAGAATGGCGCAGTTCGTTCAGAGCCCATTCTGTACCTCGGGTCTGTCCCGAGGCTGACCCGCGGTCGAAGGAACCGCGGGGTTTAGAGGCTCAACCTAGGGTCTAGTAACTTTGACGGTCGTGCGCCTACAGAGGTGCAGAAAGTCGCAAAACGAGTTGACGATGTACAAAAAACCGCACCGAGTTGTCGCAAACGAGAATAGGGAGGTGTAGACTGGCGGGCGATGCACTTGCGCCACTTCTATTCCGGTAGATTTGTCTGCGAACGGTGTGTTTTCAGTCAAGCAGCCGTCGGGAGTCGTGAGATCCGAGGCAATTTTTTTCCACCTCGGGTGTTCCCGTGTGACACTAGCGTCAGAAAGGAGCTCCAGAATCAGCCTTAGAATATGGGAGCTCTACAGCTTGGGGGATAATCAATTGTTCACAGTTCGGGCAGCATACAGGTTGAGGTCTGTGGAAATGTCGGCCCAACCACGGCCACCCAACAATGGTGAAGGAGTTGGGCACGTGGCGAGCGCGATACGCCTAGGGGCTACGGCGTCGCGCCTGTAAATTGCCCTCTTGTACGCGCTAGCGCTCACCTCGACACAAGTAACGGACAAATAAGCAGTCACCATGAAGTGAAACATTGTTGACTGCTCTCCATCCATGTGGCTACCAAGGGATGCAAGCAAGAGTCTCAAGCCGACCTATGCAGGCAACACATTACAGTATCAGGCAAAAGAACGAGAACGCTCAGATGCTCATTAGATTGAATCCCAGACGCTAAAAACCTGTAAGCCCCATGGGCAACAGGAGATGCTATTATTGATCATAAAGGTGCAAAGACCGGCCAATGGGGTCATGCGGATAGACGTCTCTCAAGCTCTCCTCCGCATCTAGCCAAACCCACTGATCCTCGGGCACTCCTTGTACACAAAAATCACTACACCTATCCAAGTTGTCATCTCCTATCCCTTCTAAAAGGCTCCCATCCAAACCCAAAACCTCCAACAGCGCACTAGCCCCCCTCTCCCCAGCAGCCTTTGCCAGCTGCGTCCACGAAGCCGCTCCCTCATCTACACTCCTTTCCACTTTGCAAGCCCCGGAAATAGTAGAATTCGCCCACTCCGAACTAACCCTTACGCGGCCGGCGCGGCACGGGGTGGGGGCAACAACGGCAACGGGGTTCTCGAGGGCGCGGGAGGAGTATTTGGCGAGGAGCACAGCCCAGAAGTGCACGCGCGAATGCCACGTGCACACGAGCGCTGCGAGCTCGTTGGCGTTGCGCACCATGGTGCGCACGGCGGCGTCGTTGCGCTGCATCCACTCGACGGCGCGGAACAGGTCCCGGAAACTGCAGGAGGTGTGGTTCGGGGGGGGGGTGGCGGGGAAGGGGGGGGGGGGGGAATGGGGTGGGACGAGTCAGTGGGAAGGGGGTCGGGGTTAAATGTTGGTGCACATGGCAGCTTTGTTGTGCTGAATCCACTCGATGGCGCGGAATAGGTCAGGGAAACTGCAGGCGGTGTAGATTGGGGGTTTGAACCAGGTGGAGCGGAGAGGAGAAAATATTGGAGGGAGGGGGGGGGGGGAGGTGGGTGTTGGGGGGAGTTTTTAAATTATGGTGCGCACAGCGGGGTGGTGTTCTACAGCAGAACATATACCGGGCAGCAGCAGCGACTCGAAAGAAGTACATGAAACATGTGCGTGCCTGTGTATGCACCCCCGGCAGCATGAGCGGCTCAAAGAGCCCCATGTAGGCCCATGCGTGGCCATGAGCATGCCATTGTATGCATCGGACCATAACTTGTGTATCCCACTCACTTGTGGCCCACAGGCACGTAGTGCACCCCCGGCAGCATGAGCGGCTCAAAGAACTCCGAGTACCCTGACGCGTGGCGGATGACGGCCTGCGGGCCACTGAGAGCGCGGCACATGGCGCGCGTGCCGATCTGCTCGTCCACCACGAGCACGTACTTGTAGTCGCGCCTCTCTGCCACGTCATCCAGCTCCTCTGCCAACACCACACCGTGCCTGGCAGAAGATGGGGGGAAGGGGCAGATGATTGGGAGGGGTTGAAGGTGATAGGGGGGAGGGTCCAGGTGATAGGGGAGAGGGTGCAGGTGATAGGGGGGAGGGTGCAGGTGATAGGGGGGAGGGTGCGGAGATGGGCGTGCCCGTGCACCACCGGCACATACTTATACTCGCTCCTCCCTATTGCTCCCCAGTGAATGCCACTCCAGCTCTCGCAAGTTCTCTGTCAGACCCACCTTCACCCCCACCCACCCTCACGCCCACCCACCTGAGAGAACACCACTTGGTGGTGGTTTTAGCCATATGTGGCAGCGGGCTTGTAAAACACTTATTGTTTAGAGAAAAATTCTTGCTCAGAAAAAAGCTCTCTTGAATTCGTAGGGCAAAAAGTTATGGTAACTACTTTCGGCAGGTGGCTGCCTTCATCAGACCATACACAAAAGAGCAAACGAGCAAGGCTAAATAGGCAGGAGCTCACGAATTTCGCAATAGGGGAATTTCGCAAATTTCCCAAGACCCACCCTCACCCCCACCCACCCTCACCCCCACCCACCTGAACAGGATCTTCTTGGCGTCGGTGGGCGGGCGTCTGAGTGCGTCAATCCACCTAGTACCCCAAGAGTAACTCCCCCCCTCCACAAGACCCTCCCTGCCCACCGACCCACCTGAGCAGGATCTTCTTGGCGTCGGTGCCGTCCTTCTCGCCCCACATGGTGAGGCGCGCGTCCAGCAGGTCGGGGCGGGCGTCGGTCATGCGGTGCAGCCGCACACGCAGGCTGGTCGCCCAGTTGGCTTCCTTGAGAACAAACTCCAGTGAGCGCCCCCGCCACACCGCCTTGCTTTGCCTCTGCAGATCAAACAGGGGGAGGGGAAAAGGAAGGCAAGGGGAGGGGGCATCTGACATGCGGCGCAGGCCCACAGGCTGGTCGCCCAGTTGGCTTCCTTGAGCACGAACTCCAGGAACCGACCCCTCCACACCGCCTTGCTTTGCCTCTGGTACATGAGGGTAAAGCAGGGCGGAAGAGGGGATTGAAGCGAACACAGGTCGTCTGACATGCGGTGCAGGCACACACGCAGGCTAGAGGAGAGGCCCAGTTGGGCTCCTTCAACACGAATATAAGAGACACCCCCCCCCACACACTGCACCCCCCACTCCCTGCCCCCCCCCAGACTGATTTGCTTTGCAAGTGCAAGTCAAACATGGGAAGGGACAGAGGAAGGAAAGGGGGTGTCTGTTAGACCTCCGCCCAAGACCTCCGCCCAAGACCTCCGTCCAAGACCTCCGTCAGTCCAAGACCTCCACCCCATCTTCTGAAGAAGACCCGTCTTCCAAGAATCCCCCGTCTCCCGAAGACAACCCGTCCTTCGAACACAGCCCGTCTTCCGAAGTTGCACCGCCTTTTGAAGATGCCCCTCCGTCCAAGACCTCCGTCCAAGACCTCCGTCCAAACCTCCGTCCAAGACCTCCATCCAAAACCTCCGTCCAAGACCTCCGTCCAAAACCTCCGTTCAAGACCCTTCGTCCAAAACTGTCCGCAAAAAAACCTCCGTCCAAGACCTCCGTCCAAGACCTCCGTCCAAGACCTCCGTCCAAGACCTCCGTCCAAGACCTCCGTCCAAGACCACCGTCCAAGACCTCCGTCCAAGACCGTCCGTCCAAGCACCTCCGTCCAAGACCTCCGTCCAAGACTTCCGTCCACGACCTCCGTCCAAGACCGTCCGTCCAAGCACCTCCGTCCAAGACCGTCCGTCCAAGCACCTCCTTCCAAGACCTCCGTCCAAGACCGTCCGTCCAGGCACCTCCGTCCAAGCACCGCCGTCCAAGCACCTCTGTCCCAGCACCTCCGTCCAAGACCTCCATCCAAGACCTCCGTCCAAGACCTCCGTCCAAGCACCTCCCTCCAAGACCTCCCTCCAAGACGTCCATTCTAGTAGTCCGTCCAAGACCGTCCGTCCAAGCACCTCCGTCCAAGACCGTCCGTCCAAGCACCTCCGTCCAAGACCTCCGTCCAAGACCGTCCGTCCAGGCACCTCCGTCCAAGCACCTCCGTCCAAGCACCTCCGTCCAAGACCCTCCGTCCAAGACCTCCGTCCAAGACCTCCGTCCAAGGCCGTTCGTCCAAGACCTCCGTCCAATTCCTCCGTAAAAACCTCCGGAGTGCTTTCGACCGGAGTGTGATAAACTGAAGTGATGACTGTATTAGGAAAAGAGCGGGTATACATAGGTGAGGAGTAGAAGGGGGGGGTTTGGTTGGGAGGTGACCACGATTATTGGTCACCTCAATACGTTGGGTTGGCCAACTTATTGGAGGTCCAATAATCTTAGCCAGGATTATTGGTGGGTCAAATAATCTTGGCTGGAATTATTGGAGAATCAACAATAGGGAGCCCAAACAATTTGGGAACCCAACAAGGTTGGGAACCCAACACCCAACTTAAGACAATGAAACGATGTAGGCTAATAGAATGGAGTATATTCTAACACGAGGTCCTTTCTTTCGGGGTGCTCTCGACCAAGGTGCTCTCGACCAGAATGCTTTCGACCGGAGTGCTTTCGACCAGAGAGATTTCGACCGTAGTGGTTTCGACCGGAGTGGTTTCGACCTCGACCGGAGTGCTCTCGACCGGAGTGCTTTCGATCAGTGTGCTTTCGACCGGAGTGCTCTCGACCGGATTGCTCTCGACCAGAGTGCTCTCAACTGGAGTGTTTTCGTCCGAAGTGCTCTCGACAGGAGGAGTGCTTTCGACCGGAGTGCTCTCGACCGGAGGAAAGCTTTCGACCGGAGAGCTCTCGACCAGAGTGCTCTCGAATGGACTGCTTTCGACCGGAGTGCTTTTGACCGGAGTGCTTTCGACCAGAGTGCTTTCGACCGGAGTGCTTTCGACCGGAGAGATTTCGACCGTAGTGGTTTCGACTGTAGTGGTTTCGACCGGAGTGGTTTCGAACTCGACCGGAGTGCTCTCGACCGGAGTGCTTTCGACCAGAGTGCTTTCGACCGGAGTGCTCTCGACCGGATTGCTCTCAACCGGAGTGCTCTCGACCGGAGTGCTTTCGACCGGAGTGCTCTCGACCGGAGGAGTGCTTTCGGCCAGAGTGCTCTCGACCGGAGGAGAGCTTTCGACCGGAGAGCTCTCGACCGGAGTGCTCTCGACTGGACTGCTTTCGACCGGAGTGCTTTTGACCGGAGTGCTTTCGACCGGAGTGCTTTCGACCGAAGTGGTTTCGCCCGGAGTGGTTTCGACGGGAGTGGTTTCGACCGGAGTGCTCTCGACCGGAGTGCTTTCGACCGGAGTGCTCTCGACCAGAGTGCTTTCGACCGGAGTGCTTTCGACCGGAGAGCTTTCGACCGGAGTGCTTTCGACCGGAGAGCTTTCGACCGGAGTGGTTTCGACCCGAGTGGTCTCAACCGGAGTGGTCTCGACCGGAGTGTTTTCGACTGGAGAGCTTTCGACCGGAGTGCTTTCGAAAGGAGTGCTTTTGACCGGAGTGCGATCGACCGGAGTGCCTTTCCTGCTTCCCCCACCGCTCCTCCGCACCGAAGCCCGAAAAAAACCTGTACTGCCCTCTGGGCCGAGGGGACGCGTGGGTGAGGCCGAGGGGGTCTGGGAAGAGGATGACGGTGAGTCCGGGCGTCCACTGCGTGCTCAGGGCTGCAAAGCCTGCACCCACCCAACTTCCTCATTCACACCCCCACCCACACCCACACCCACCCCCACACCCACACCCACACCCACTCCCACACCCACACCCATTCCCACACCCACACCCACACCCACACCCACACCCACACCCACACCCACACCCACACCCACACCAACCATCTCCCCCTCACCCACTCACCCGCTCCCACACTGGCAGCGGCTCCAGCCCCTGCCTCTCATGCTGCCTCCGCCGCTCCTCCACACCAAACCCAAGATGTCGAGAGGGCGAAGACGCATACGTGAGGTCGAGGGGGTCTGGGAAGAGGATGTCGGTGACCCCGGGCGTCCACTGCGTGCTCAGGACTGCAAAGCCTGAGCGGCCAGAGGAGAGGGAGTTGTCGTAGCTGTGGGGGTCGTCACACGCGTTCAGGTAAAGCTCGGCCTGTAAGGCTGGGAGGAGGGGGGGGAGGGAGGGAGGGAGGAAGGGAGGGGGGAGGGCGGGAAAGTGGAACAAAGAGAGAAGCGAGTTGTCGTGGCTGTGGGGGTCGTCACACGCGTTCAGGTAGAGCTCGGCTTGCAGGGCTGGGAGAAGGGGCGGTGGGAGGAGGGAAGGGGTAAGGAGCAAGAGGGGCAATCACAAGCGAGTTACTGTAGCTGTGGGGGTCGTCACTTGCGTTCAGGTAGAGCTCGGTCTGCAGAGATGGGAAGATGGGGAAGGGAAGTGCCCCGGTTGGGACAGGGGTGGGGAAAAGCGAAGTGTGTGGAAGGGGGGAGCGAAAGGGAAGACGAGCAGGCGAGAGGGTCTGGGAAGTGACACCGGGGCTCCGGCCAGCGCACAGCGAATTGTAGCAGCTGGCCACAAGGTGAACACGAAAAAAAAAGGGACCATGCGCATGACACAAGCTTCTCTGATAGCGACACGAAACCACAGATGACTCGGAAAAGTTTCACGGCATGACGCCTTGGGTGTGACGCCTTGGGCACGATGCCTTGGGCGGGGGGGGGGGGATGCATGGGGGGGGATGCATAGGGGGGGGATGCATAGGGGGGGGATGCATAGGGGGGGATGCATAGGGGGGGATGCATAGGGGGGGGATGCATAGGGGGGGATGCATAGGGGGGGATGCATAGGGCATGCTGCCCAAGAGGATGCCGCCCGAGGGGATGCTGCCCAAGCGGATGTCGCCCGAGGGGATACCAAGAGGGCATGCCGCCCGACAGCAAGCCGCCCGAGGGCATGCCGCCCGAGAGCATGCCGCCTGAGGGCATGCAGCCAGCGGGGATGCCGCCCGAGGGCAAGCCGCCCGAGGGCATGCCACACGAGGAGAAGCCGCCCGAGGGGAAGCTGCCGGGGGGCCTGCCGCCCGAGGGATGCTGCCCGAGGGTAAGCCGGCCAAGAGCATGCCGCCCGAGAGCATGACGCCCGAGGGGATGCCGCCCGAGGGGATGCCGCCCGAGTGGATGCCGCCCGAGGGGATGCCGCCCGAGTGGATGCCGCCCGAGGGCATGCCGCCCGAGGGGATGCCGCCCCACATGCCGCCCGAGGGCATGCTGCCCGAGAGCATGCCGCCTGAGGGGATGCCGTCCGAGGGATGCCGCCCGAGGGGATGCCGCTCGAGGGCAAGCCGCCCGAGGGGATGCCGCCCGAGGGCTGCCGCCCGAAGGCATGCCGCCCGAGGGGATGCCGCCTGAGGGGATGCCGCCCGAGGGGAAGCTGCCCGAGGGCATGCCTCCCGAGGGCATGCAGCCCAGGGACATGCAGCCCGGGGGGATGCCGCTCGAGGGCACGCTGCCCGAGGGGTTCCGCCCGAAGGCATGCCGCCCGAGGGCATGCCGCCCGAGGGCAAGCGGCCCGAGGGCATGCCACCCGAGAGCATGCCGCCCGAGGGGATGCCGCCCGAGGAGATACCAAGAGGGCATGCCGCCCGAGGGCAAGCTGCCCGAGGGCACGAGACTCACTCTGCAGCTCAAACGAGACTCACTCTGCAGCTCAAACGTGACCACGGCCTCGTGGATCATCTTCACAGCCAGGTTGATTCTGAGAAGCTTCCTCTCGTCTTCCAGGAAGGAGCCGTAGCGGAAATAGACCCGCCCTTCCACAATGCGCACCTGGGCCACGCACGTCATGAGCTGGGGGGAGGGGATGGAGGGGTGGTGGAGAATGAGTGGAGAATGAGTGGAGAATGAGTGGAGAATGAGTGGAGAATGAGTGGAGAATGAGTGGAGAATCAGTGGAGAATGAGTGGAGAATCAGTGGAGAATGAGTGGAGAATGAGTGGAGAATCAGTGGAGAATGAGTGGAGAATCAGTGGAGAATGAGTGGAGAATGAGTGTAGAATGAGTAAGAGGGTGCGAGGGCAAGTGGTGAAGAAAGAGACCATGTGTGGACGCGTGGTTGATGGCAACGCATGGTATGGTCTAGAGCAGCCCACCTTGGGGTTGGTGGCGATGGCTTTAAGTGCAGCTGGCAGCTGGTTTGATGAGGCCTGTCCTGCCCAGCCCCCTCGGTGATACCCTGCATACATGTGTCACTATGGTATGGTGTGGTGGAGCAGCCCACCTTGGGGTTGGTAGCGATGGCTTTCAGTGCAGCTGGCTTGATGAGGCCTGTCTTTCCCAGCCCCTCAGTAATGCCCTGCGGAAATGCAGTCAAACAGGCACGCATTCATGCACCCATGCATCCATATAGGCCCGACGGTATGCACGCATTCACGCATGCACACACGCATGCATGCATTCGAATGGACATTCCTCTCGCATCAGTACACACATGCATCCAAACAGCCTTGCAGCCATGCATTCAAACAGCCATTCGACCATGCAACCATGCACCCATGCGACAACCACCACGCAGACTGAATGATGGAATAACCATCTTTAGCTCGGGACTTGCTTGCACTCACACCGATCCGCGCCAATGCACAACCCCTCCTCTCCGACCATCCATGACTCCCCTTCTCCCCGCATCCTCGGCCCATCCAAAGGTCGGCCCCAGTAAAATATCTCCCTTTTCCACACTGCCCCTACACACCTTATCCCTCTCCTCCATTTGCTCTCCTCTTTCCACACACCAACCTTTGCCTCCCTCCTCCCCCAGCCCATCCGCGACATCACAGACATAATCCCGCAGCACCACACATAATCCCGTCCCTTCACAACCACAACCCCCCTTCCTTTTCCCCATCCCACGACCACCCCCGCCACCTCCCGTCCCCTCTCCCCTCTCCCCTCTCCCGCAATCCAAATCCACCTCTATTCTCGCCCAGGGGGCCAGGAACCGTTCAGCCAGTCGCGCGAAGGCAAGTGTGACGGGGTCACTGGTGCTGAACGCGCCAGTGGTGAGCAGCCCCTCCACCACCACGGCCCATGGCACCCGCCCGTCGTCCTCGCCCTCCCGCGCTGCCACCATCTTCCCCATCGCCTGCAACCTCCTGCCCGAAAAAAACATCGGCCCCGCATTCTCCCCACCGTTTATTCCGTCCCCTCCACCCGATCCTCCTCCCGACCCTCCTCCGCCTCCTCCCGAACCTGCGCCTCCGCCGAACCTGTAAGGCCCGGTATCCCCCAGCAGCACCCCCGCGCCTGCGCTCAAATCGAGGCCAGCAGCGGCAGCCGCGGCGGCGACGGCAGCGTCGGTGGAATCAGCGGTATCGTTGAGCCAGGGGCCTTCTAATACCCCTCTGGCGTTTAGGTAAACGGCGAAATCGCAACCGCCGGGTTCGACTAGCGTGCTGGCGATGTACGGCGCGGGGAACCAGAAGAACCTAGTGGCGATCAGAACGAAGACCGCGCACGACGCGATCACCACGTGCGGTCGCTCCCGCGCAATGCCATCCAGGAAACTGGCCGCGCCGACCGCGCCTCCGCCGCTGCTGCCACGTGTGCTGAAAGTGTTGGCAGCTGCTGACCTTGACGACGGGGAGTACTGGGATCGACGGCTCCCAGCTCTCGTTCGCGACGACATCGCTCCTGCAGTTAGCTGGACTGTTTTGACGGGGTAACATCAGTAACCATGACTACACCTGAGCTTATGACAGTCGTTGAGCTGACCTGCAAGGAACTATATTTGGTGCTCACGGCGTTCGATCGTGCGGTAAGGAAGGCACTATATCATGAAAAGGTTGAGCCATCATTATGAAACTAGCCTCGAGTATGAAATCGCGTCGTATTTTCTGCTCCGATTCTAGGTTGGCTAAGAATGCCGAACAGAAAAAGCTCGAGGAGTTCGTCCAGTCGGGTATCAGGCACTCGGGACGTCGGAACGGGAGCAAAAACCGGTAGATTCGCTTACGCGTAGATAGTCTGGCCAAATATATCCGATGACCTCTAGGAGGAGACCGGAACCATGCTGGAGAGTTACTCCGAACCCTCTTATCTCCAGAGGGCAGGATGAAGGAAGAGAGACAAGTCGCCTGACAGTGTCTGTTGAGACAGCTAAGGGCGTGTCACTTAAGTACGTCCGATTGCGGTTCGCAAAGATGTTTTGCGGTCTGTAACGGTAAAATAAAATTTAGAGCGGTTTAGTATGGTATTTTGCCACAACGATTTTTGGTGACACGCCCTAATCCCTGTGTTCTGGCGGGAAGTGGGAGTGGATGGAGGAGACCTCAAGGGGCAATGTGAGGGGAAGACGATCAACTGGTTGGTGAAGCGACATTGTTACAGATTTTGCTGTCGCGAAACAACATTTTGCACACAAATAAGATGTTATGAATTAATCAGAGTAGTAACAGGTAGTGTAATAAAGGTGTCGTGATTCAAGAGTGTCGATACAAATGAGGGCCTAGGCATTTATAGGCACAAACAGAGCTAGCCGAGAACCACGGGAGCAGGTTGGGGCGGTCCGTTTGGCGAAAGCCACGGAAGCGCTGCGCGTCAAGGTTTGGGTTCGCGAAATGGTTTGGGTCCGAAGAAAGTTGGCCGAGCCTGGACTTCTGAGAGTCAAGGGCGTACGCGCTGTAGTCGAGCCTAGTAAGGAAAATGGAATTTCCTTACATAAGAGCTGGGATGTAACATGTGGTTAGCGAAGTGTAGCTGGTTGGGAGGTTTCAGGAGAATCGCGATAGGCCTGACAAAGCCCGACGTTTCGCTGACGTCCGGTGCATTCTGAGCTGTCGATCCACACTGGTCGTGATTCCCTTAGCGTTGACATACATATGATAGACTTCAAGAATCCGGACCAGCCTGAAGTGTGTCTAACAACAGTTCTTGAACAGCTGTACGATCAATGAGCTAGCAACGAGAAACGAGCAACGAGCGACGAGTGATTAGCGACGAACGACGAGCGATTATCGAACGAACGACGACTAGAGATTAGCAGCCGGCTGGGGCCGCGCCATTATCACGAGGGTGGAAGCTTACAGTGGAGGGGATATTGTCAGATTGCCGCAACCAGCGATCAGCCTAGTAGGTCGCAGTGCTATGCACCCCCTCCCCTTCCCACGCGTCGTCATTATACAGCCATGAAAGAAGCCTCACGAGCCCACATGCCTTCGACCAGACCCTTCCGCTGGCGACAAAGCAGGTGGTAGCGCGTCGACCTAGTCTTGCATTTCGTCTTATCTGCCCTACGTTTAGACAAAACCACTCTCCGCTGCTTGCTATAGTTTCGCTGGGCGCTCCTCGCGGTTTTAACGCTGTACCTGCGTTGTTGCATCGCACAACAGCGCTGTTTTCTACTGTAGACTTGTAGCAGAGCTGCTGCTGTAGTTACGGCGTTGTAGATAGAGAAACGTACAGTAGACGGCATTGCCATGGGCTGCGTAGGCTCTACTGCAAAAGACGAAGAGTCTCCAAAAGGTGCGCGTGCGCTCTAAACTGCGTCATGGGAGAGGGGGGCGAATGTCGTACGAATGGGTTCTTGCCAGTTTGCTCCGGAGATTTCATAACAGCGAGTCTTTGAATTCGTACGTCATCCCCTCACAAATCTGCAGAATTATCCTCTCCCCCACCTCTCTCTTCTCCTCATGGCAGGGGATGATAGTGAAAGCCAAAGTGTGGAAGCACCTTTTGAGTTGGCTCACCATACCTGTCCCCTCTTCCCTGCCGCCTCTCTCCCCTCCTCCCTCACCGCAGGCAAGAAGCTCGTGAAGCCCAAGGCGTGGAAGCACCCAACGCCACTGTCCCAGGCAGAGCTGACTCGTATGAGGGAGGAGTTCTGGGACACCGCGCCGCACTACGGCGGCCAAAGAGGTCTGCCTTCCATCCCGCTTCTTGCTTGTAGCCTCTCAGGTGCTCGTCACTCATGCAACCACGCATACGACCCCATGCATACGCATGCACGCGTACACACCCATGTGTGGAAACAGCGTATGCACCAATGTGTGCTCACCAATGTGTATGCACACCCGCATACGCGGGCACCCACGCCACGTGTATACACACCTGCGTACACCCATTCGTATGCACGCACACGTACGCATACCCAGTACGCATGCCTGCTTATGCACACCCCCGTACGCATACGCACACCCCCGTACGCATGCCTGCTTACGCACACCCCCGTACGCATGCCTGCTTACGCATGCCTGGTTATGCACACCCCCATATGCATGCCTGCTTACGCACACCCCCGTGCGCATGCCTGCTTACGCACACCCCCATACGCATGCCTGCTTACGCACACCCCCGTACGCATGCCTGCTTACGCACACCCCCGTACGCATGTCTGCTTACGCACACCCCCGTACGCATGCCTGGTTATGCACACCCTCGTACGCATGCCTGTTTACGCGCACCCCCGTAAGCATGCCTGCTTACGCGCACCCCCGTACGCATGCCTGCTTACGCGCACCCCCATACGCATGCCTACTTACGCACACCCCCGTACGCATGGCTGCTTACGCACACCCCCGTACACATGCCTGCTTACGCACACCCCCGTACGCATGCCTGCTTGCGCACACCCCCGTACGCATGCCTGCTTACGCACACCCCCGTACGCATGCCTGCTTACGCGCACGCCCGTATGCATGCCTGCTTACGCACACCCCCGTGCGCATGCCTGCTTACGCACACCCCTGTGAGCATGCCTGCTTACGCACACCCCCGTACGCATGCCTGCTGACGCACACCCCCGTACGCATGCCTGCTTACGCACACCCCCGTACGCATGCCTGCTTACGCACACCCCTGTACGCATGCCTGCTTATGCACACCCCCGTACGCATGCCTGCTTACGCACACCCCCGTACGCATGCCTGCTTACGCACACGCCCGTACGCATGCCTGCTTACGCACACCCCCGTACGCATGCCTGCTTATGCACACCCCCGTACGCATGCCTACTTACGCACACCCCCGTACGCATGCCCGCGAATGCATGCCACCTACGCACCCGTGTGTACGCATGCCCGCGTACGGTTCCATGCGTACGCAAACCCATGCATATGCACACACGTATACGCAGTCACTGGCAGCAGATGACACTCGCTGGCAGCACATGGCACTCGCTGGAAGCACATGGCACTAGCTGGCAGCACATATAACTCACTGGCAGCACATGGCACTCGGCGTGGCTCCTCCCCATCTCTCTGTCCCTCCCCTCCTTTCCTCCGAACCCATTTCCCCACACCTTCCTTCGCCCCCCTCTGCCTCCTCCTAACAGAGATATGGGACGCATTGAAGGCAGCAACAGAGGGAGACCAAGACCTTGCGCAACTGATACTGGAGTCAGCAGGGGTAGTAGTCGATGTGCCTGACATGTCTGTGTGCTATGACGAGAGAGGTGAGGTGTGGCCATGAGGCAATGTAGTCAAGTATATGTGATTATGCTGGCTGTTTAGCGGCAAGGGTGCTTTTGTCCGGAACTGCTTTGGCCTGATCGCCTCAACTTTCTCTCCTCTTCCGTTCTCTTGCAGGAGCCAAGTATGAGCTACCTCAGTATGTTTTGAGCGACCCCATCAACCTCGTCAAGGAATCTTGATGGAAACCGGAGTATATTGGATTGGGTGCCTTAGAGAGATGTTGTCTCGACTACAAACCTTTGCCTTGCCTGTATGAATTGCGTATCATACGGTTTATAGCTAGCACCATCTGTGCATTATAGGAGGCAAAATGACATGTGAATTGAGTGGAATGTGAGGGACGGGGGGAGAGGTGGGGATAAGGTGAGGTGAAGTACATGAAGTGGTCATGGCTATGGACAAGGTAAGGGGGGGACGGAAGCTGGAGAAGTGGCAGAAAGGCCAAGATGTCACAATAGTTTGGATTGATATATTTTATTGCGAAATCTGGTGCCATATGGAAAATCATATTGAAGATTCAATAACTGCTTCAATAGTGTAGAGTTTTCCTTGCAGGAACGATTCTCGGTTGCTGGGTCTTGAAGGTTTCCGTTGGGAATTGGAACCTCCTCGAGGTTGTCAGAGGGGATGTATGTAGGAGGCTCTGCCTCTGACTGCTCGCTTGAAACAAACGCTAGGCATGGGGTGCTGAGTTATTCCTATTGGCTTACAGCCTGCTATAACAGGGCAACGCGATCCGTCCGACGCATCACCTCGCGAAATGACCAGGCATTTGGGCCGCAGATGAGGCGTCTGCATGCGGTTCCTCAGAGCGAGTATCTTTTCCAGCCAATGACTTCGCAGCCCGCCGACATTTGACTCAAATTAGCATGCCACCGACATCGTTCAGACAATTCGCGATCAAGATCGACGGCTGAAAACACCGAATACAAGGCAAGTAGATGACCGTTCAGCCCGTTTTCAGCCGCTTCACTTGGCTCCCAGACTAAGCGACTCGTCGCCGCCCTGGAAGCTTGGAAACGAGTGGTGCCAAACACACTCGCGGTCCCAGGCGCACTTGTGGTCCCAAACGCGCTCGTCCTGCAAAAAGAAACCAAAATCCTCAGCAGCGAAAAAAAACATCGAAGAGGACGGCGAATGCCCAACCGCTCACTCCTCTGTAACCAGGGGCATTTTCCGCCCCTTTGGGTCCAGCCAAACCCCGTTTCCTGTGCCAAATTCCTCTACAGGTTTGAGCAAACCCTCTCCCCTCCCCAGCGAATGCCCAGAAATTCATCTTCGGGAATCGGAAACCCTCCTCTCCCCACCGTCGGCTCCAAGCCAATTTTGGTGCTCCCAGCCTCGTTTTGCCCCAGCCACTGCATTCTCCACAGCATTCCATTTCCCAATCCTCCGCAGCCAGAGCTAGTTCTCCAGAAATCCTCCTTCCTAGCAATCTCCGACTCATTTCTCTAGCACAGAATTCCGTAAGGAACGCTGCTACGAGGCCTCGTCGCCAACATCGCAGGCGATTTTGCCAGAAAAATCGCCATTCTAGCAGCTCGCATTGTAGAAACCTTCCGCCGCCAGCAGCAGCGAAAATAGGGCCACGCTCGACGGCGTATTCTCTGATTTTTTTTTGGAAGAAGCGCGGATTGGCCAAGCGGAGGGCGAGCATGAAGCTTTGTCTTCCGCGTGACTGACTCGCGGTTCCTGCAGCATCTCCGCACGGATCGTGCGACAACGGTCAACTTTTCCCCTCCAGAAGCGGCCGTTTGAAGAAGTCAATCCGGACTACAACGGCAGAATTGGCATCGTGGCCCGTCAGTCCCTGACGTCGCCGTCGATGGCGAGTGAGATTCTGATGAGCTGCTGGGGAGGTTCCAGTTTCGATTAGAACGCTGAATTCGCGGCGGACAACGCGAATAAGGGCTCTCGCGTCGTCCTCTGCGTCCCTTGGCGCGGTGGGCGAACGGTCAAGGCGAACGGTCAAGGCGAACGGTCAAGGCGAACGGTCAAGGCGAACGGTCAAGGCGAACGGTCAAGGCGAACGGTCAAGGCGAACGGTCAAGAGGAGGTGGTGCTGGACGACGCTGACGTCGTCGCTGGTGCTTCTGGGACGAGAAAACCGGCAGTAAGTGTGTGTGAGCAAGGCTTTCTGCCTCCTTCCCATGGCTTGTTTACGCACGGAATTTAAGGTTCACTTGTGCTTGGTTTCAGGCACTGACACGCGTCTGTGTGCGTGTCTTGCTGCAGGTGCACTTGAGGCGGCACTGCCCTGAAGCCCTAATGCCGCTGCCGCTCTCTGCTGCCTTTCAGCCGCCACCACTGCTGGAGCACGCACTACCGTGCTCCAGGCCGTCGCGAGGGCATCACTGGCGCTCCATTCGGCAGCCAAGCTGGAAGTCTCCAGCTCCAACTCTTCAGGATTGGCGTTAGCATGGTAAGCGGCGGGGAGAGGCTCGTGGGGGGGTTGATTGAGTCGCTAGAAACCGCAGTAGAGCGTCTCGAGTCTGATTGTCGCCTTGCGTCTGCATGATTCCGCTTCTTGCTTCTAACGCATGTTACTCTCCCCCTTCCTCTCTGTCTGCGCGTGGTCCTCGTGTGCGTTCCACGTGGCGTTCCCTGGTGGCGAGAAACCGAGATCTTGGTAGCCTGAGGAGCGCGAGCGTCTGTGGCGGGGAGCAGCAGCGGAAGTGGGGGGAGCAGGAGCACCAGAGGCGGAGGTGCCAGGCACACACCCACGACCAACATGTGTGGTCACACTCCATGGTTGTAAGTACAGGGGGTGAGCTCTAGGGGGAGCGCGTACGAGTCATAGGTCGCGCATAGAGCGTCGCGTCTGCCGTTTGCTTGAGTCCGCCTTCCACCCCTGCTGCTACTAACACACGCCCTTCCCTCCCCCTCCCCCCTCCCGCCCCCCCTCTCCCTCGCCTCTCCTCCATCCGTGGGAGCGAGCACGGCAGAAGCAGTGGGGGCGCAAGGAGCAGCAGCAGCAGCGAAGCGACAGTGCTGCCAGGCGCACTCACCACACCACCACTCACCACCACTCAGTACCATGCATGGAGGCCAGAACGTAAGTTCAGGGGGTGACCTCTTGGGGGGGCGCGTACGAGTCATAGATCGCGCATAGAGCGTCGCGTCTGCCATCATTCCTTGAGTCTGCTCATCCACCCTTGCTGCTCCTAACACACGCCCTTCCCTCCGCTCCCCCAAAACCCCTCCCCTCCCCCCCCCCCCCCCCCCCCCTCCCCTTCCCCCGCCACCCAACCGGGCCCTCCTCCGGCTATGGCTGTGTCTGCTGCTGTGTGGAGCTGCATGGGCTGCAAGCCATGATGCAAGGTGACGGTTGTGGGGGGGGGGGGGGGATGGAGGCTGGAAGCTCGGGGATGGAGGATGGGTGGAGGGAGGAGGGAGGAGGGAGGAGGGAGGAGGGAGGAGGGAGGAGGGAGGAGGGAGGAGGGAGGAGGGCGGAGGCTCGGGGAAGGGGGAGGGGAGAGGGCGAGTGGAAGCGTGCACTGCAGCGGCTGTGCCTTGCCGTGCACCCAGTCACACACACGCACTCACCAGGCGCACGAGGTGAGTCTATCCTGCTCCGTGCACTGCACTGTCATAGGTGCATCAGCGTCGCCCTTTCGTGCACGTGTCATTCCATGCACATGAGCATGCTCTTGCGCTTTTGTTCTCTCCGAAATTACAACCACTGGAAGCATCTCGGTGCACAAGGAACAAACCGCCTCTACAGGTGACCCCTCAGGTACCCCCTCAGGTAACGGCCCAGGTGCCCTTTCAGGTACCTCTCAGGTACCCTCAGTTTGTGCGTTGTGCTCTGAGCGGCTCCAGTGGTCCCTCTGCTTCTCTGCCTCTCTGCTCCTCGTGCTGCCAAGTGCCTTCCTTTCCTTGGCCCGCCCTCTCCACTCACCATCACACTCTCGCCCTTGAACGTGGGGGGGAGGGCGTGGGGGTCAAAACCGCCACTCCCCCACGTCCCTGCCCTTGTGGCCGTGCAGGTGCCCGAAGCGGGGTGGGGGGAGCAAGGCAGCACGGCAAGCAAGCGCAGAGGGAGAGTATCGCATGCAGGCTTGGTGGGGGATCAGCCAAGCATGGTAAGCCTTGTCTCTGACTTGGCTGCATTTCTGTTCCCTTGCAGCTCGGATCTCCTTGCCCTAATTTTTTTTCCGTACTAACTCTTCCTTTTTGTGTTACGCTATCCTGCCTTATTTTTCAATAACCATTTCTCCTTCCTCCACTAACTTTCCCATTCTCCCCCCTGCCTTCCCTTCGTCCCCTCACAGGTCACTTGGTGGCAGTCGCAGCAGCAGCAGCATGCATGCAGCAGCGGTGGAGGGAAGGAGGGGGGAGGGACGGAGGGTGGAGGGAGGGGGAGGGGAAGCAGGAGGTAAGTATGGAAGGAGGGGCGGAGGGGGAGGAGAGGGAGGAGGGATTGTGGGAAGCGTTTCTGCATGGTGGCGAGCAGGCTAGCCAATCCAGTGGACCGAAATCAGCTAAGTACCCTCCCCTCCCTGCACCCACACACCAATGCTCGCCAGGCCATGTCTTGTTTGCTCCCCTCATGTGTTCTCCCCCCATGCTTGCTCGCTTTCAAACTACCCCACTTTTGTAACCAACCTCACAATCCACAGACCAGCAACAGCAGGTAAAGACCCAGGTTAAGCCAGCCCCTAGCAGGTACCCCCCCTTTACTGGTAAAAACTCACACCCCCCTACACCCGCTGGTCTGTGGATTGCCCCTGCAGTTGTCCCTCTGTGCTCGTTCTGTTGTCAACATCAGCTTGCCATCCAACTTCCTCATTTCAAATTCCTCTTCCTCTGCCATACTAACTTTTCCGCCGACCTCCCTGCCGGCCCTTTCCCCCTCACAGGTCACTTGGAACATCAGTAGCAGCAGCAGCAGCAGCAGCAGCAGCAGCAGCAGCAGCAGCAGCAGCACGCATGCAGCAGGTGTGGAGGGTGGGGGGAAGGAGTGAAGGAGGGGGGGAGGAGAGGAGGGGAGGTAGGAGGTAAGTATGGAAGGAGGGGAGGAGGAAGGGAGGGAAGCAAGCCACTGCACCGAAATCAGCTAAGTACCCTCTCCTCCCTGCACCCACACACGCATGCTTGCTTGCACCCATGCATGACACACCATGCCATGTGTCGTTTGCTCCCCTCATGCTTTCTCGCCTTCAAACCACACCACACCACTTGTGCAACGAGGCTCATAATCCACAGACCAGCAACAGCAGGTTAAGACCCAGGTTAAGACCCAGGTTAAGACCCAGGTTAAGACCCAGGTTAAGACCCAGGTTAAGACCCAGGTTAAGCCATCCCCTTAACAGGTACCCC